AATTTGTATTTACGAAACTTTGAATACAGTTTTACAATACAATGTGATACATTAGACTGAGTATAAAGTAATGCCATACAATTTATGTATGTGTATGACTTTTGAATGTTCACATATATTATTTTACATTATTTTTAAATCACCAGCATTTGGTATCTACAGTGTACGTGATATTTTGTATAATAATAAAAGAGTATAAGTACCTTCCTCATATGATGGACAATTATACGCAAAAGGCAGAGAATGGACTAAAAAAATAATTACAGCAAATGAGTAAACATGAAAATATTGATTTATTTATTTATTTAAACTATTGCACCAACAAAGAAAACACACAAAATGATATAATACATAAACTGATACAAAAGGCGGTCTTATCGTAAATCTCTTCCAGACTACCAGTAGAGAAAGTAACATTAAGATAAGAAAATAGAAGGTGGTGCACGTAATGAACATAACTGTACATTTGTACATAAATATATCTATTAATATATATAATAAAATATAAACATACGTAAACATACATATACTTAATAATGCACATATCTTCAGAAAATATGAAGGGAACTATGAGAAAGAGGACAATATGAACTTAAAGGGAAAGAAAGTGGGATTTGACAGAGACTTTGAAACTAGCAAGTGACTGAATGCTCCGAATGCAAGGGGGGAGTGCCTCCATAACTGACAGCCAGATATTGAAAAATAGCCAGCCAAAATATTGAAGGAAGAACATAAATTTAGCGCTATTTAGCGATAAGGCCGCCCATCGTCCGATCGATCAGTTTGAGATTTATATTGATGTTTAAGTATTCATACTTTTCTTACAATTCATAACATAAGCTCAAAACTGTATATTTTGATTATATATCAAATGATAATTGTTTAAAACAACTGGATTTACATAATGAAAAACTTTTTTTTCAAGATTCAAAATTCAAAGATCATTAGAATTCATGATCAATTCATGTAGAACATTTTAGCCGCTTATGAACGTCAAGTTTTTACATTAATTTTTTTTTCCATACCGTCCTTGGAAAACAGCTGAAAATACCATCAAAAGAGTATACGGGCATTGGTGGTCTATCGGTTTAGCACACCGCTTTACTTCCGTTGGTCGCAGATTCGATTTCGATTTCACGGCAAACATTTATATTCATGAGCTATTAGTAGCTAAGGTTCTTGAATAAAATAATATTGCGACTATAAATTGAGATGTAAGCTATCCTATCTTTCAAGTTGGATCAAATTGCATACAATTTGCAATCGGTTCAGTAGTTTAAGAGTCCATCCCGGACAAACAACGTGACACTTAATTTTTATATATAAAGATATTTATATATTTAAGTATTTAGCTTGTGACTAGATGGCGCGGTGTGAATTCTCCAGAGTTATTATTATTATTATTATAAAGTGACATCTACGTAGGTATACTCTTCGACAATTTGAAGATAACAGTTTCACTTAGTTGTAAAAACACCGATCACTTAGAAGAAATACCTACACGCCCCAAGGCGAAGGACTAGCGATGCGCGCGCATCCAACATCCGACCGAGAAGCAGTCGCTTCGAACAGAAAGCAGGGGGTGTATAAATATTGTATGGTTACAAAACGGGACAGTCTCAATTTCAATCTTTTCTACTGTCCTTATGGCAAACAAATGCCTTAATTACATTTCGGTAAGTGTGTATAAAAAAATATAGAAACAAAATGTAAGTTCGATAATAAACCGTAAACACTCCAATTAAAATAAAAAGGAACCAGGTCACAACATGTTAACTAAACTAATATAAGGAAAGAGTACATATTTTTTTACGACCTCGGTGGTCTAGCGGTCTAGCACACCGCTTTACGACCGATAGTCGCGGGTTCGATTCCTCGCACGGTACAAACATTTGTACTCATAAGTATGATTGTTTGTATCAGTCTGGGTGTTTTCTATGTATAATATGTATTAAAAAAAAAAAATATCTATGTATATGTATCAGTTATCGTAAACAGAGAAATATTTTCAGACTATCGTACTCTTGTTACTTCAACATTGAACGTCTAAGTCATGAGATATATCCTAGGGACAATATCTTTGGAATGTCTGTCAATTTATAATTCTTATTAACCGCTTTTAAATACCGATTGCTAACAATGTACCCCGATCGGGTCGATGTCTCTACTGTTCCTCCCCCTGGTTAACCGTCGTAGTCGACTTGTAATATCGCCAGGTCGTGCTAAGTGACCTGATTTCATACTCAGTCTTTCACCCTTCACTGGTGCCCCAACATATACCGTTAGCGTAGACGGGAAATAGAAATAATTCTTATTCAAATAAACTCATTACAAGTACTTTTAAATAGTCATATTTTGATTTTACCGCTCATTCGAAAGGCAATTTCATCACAAGAAGAATGAGCAAGAAACTTGTGTGTTACCCTTTTGAATAGATTATTTTATATATAAATAATTACAGAATAACTAGTAAGAGGCATGCGATAATCAACATAGAAACCGCTACGTGAGTGCGTAGCGATTTCTATATTCTATTATTTTATTAGTGCAATCAGATAATATTGTCAGGTTTTCTACAAAAACATTATTATCATTAACCATCTCATCAATTTTGCGGGGTGACTATTTTTTCAGTAATTACTGCAGTATAACTCTTGTAGAAAATTTTAATACTGTTAAGTTATATATATAACACGTGGACTGCATTTAAAATATTATTTCTCACATAGGGACCGGCACTTTTTTTATATTAACAATAAAAAAAGTGCCGGTCGAGCTGCACCAGCGACTTCGTCCGCGTGGAATTTAACTTTTATTAATCTAAAATAAAAGTAGCCTAAGATACTCATTACACCAGCTACCTGCCAAAAAAAGTCCCATCTAAATCGGTCCAGCCATTTCAGAAATTAGCAGAAACAAACAGACATACAGACAAAAATTGTAAAAAATGTTATTTTCGTCTATGTACCGTATTTATATTCATATGTATGTAGTAAAAAACGGTTATTTCAATATTACAAACAGACACTCCAATATTATTTATATGTATAGATGTATTATAAGTAATATGGGTAATGTAGGCTGAATTAAATAAATAAATAAATAATAGTCCGTTTAAAAATATCAATTTGCAAAATATTTCCTTTTTCGAAGACAGTTAAAATGCGTATGGTACAAAATTAAGTAACGTATAGAACATAAAACCTTATGATAAACCTCTAGTAAGTAACATCTGCCGCGTTATATTATTCAGACCTCGTCGCTTCAGCATTACTATTGCTATTAAGTATTCCATTCTAGGTAAACGTGTTATATTATATCATAAATATACATTATGAAAAATATTGAGAATTCTCGCTTTTTTATCTACAATACTTGTTCGACAGTATTTTTATTCCAGGACAAAATAATGACAAACAACAAGCTTTGTTGGCCTCGATAGTCTAGCGGTTAAGTAGACTGCCTTTCTATCAAAGGTCGCGGGTTCGATTCCTTGCAAAGTTACACATATTTGTATTCACGAGTAAGATTGCTTGTCTGTAAGTCCTAGTGTTTACTATGTGTATTATGTTTGTACTTACAAAGAAAAAAGGTATATATGTTAACCTATGTTTAGCTTGGGACTAGATTGTGCTGTGTGAATTACAAGTACGCGAGTTCGATTCTTAGTGCGGTGCAAACACTGTTATTTATATGTAAGATTGCTTCTCTGTCAAGTCCTCTGCACCTTGCTACAAAGGAAGCTGCTTTGGTGGTAGAAATAGAAGTAGGTACCCACCCAGAAAAACTTTGACAACCTGATTGGTGATAAAAAAATACGTACTCAGAAATCTGACAGTGTATAAATCATATCCTACATTACACACATACGCACAAATTACATTTTTAATACAAATCTTGCTGCAAAGGAAGCTGCTTGGTGGTAGAAATAGAAGTAGGTACCCACCCAGAAAACTTTGACAAGCTGATTGGTGATAAAAAAATACGTACTCAGAAATCTGACAGTGTATAAATCATATCCTACATTACACACATACGCACAAATTACATTTTTAATACAAATCTAAATATATATAGCTCAAAGGTGACTGACATAGTGATCTATCAACGCACAGCCCAAACCACTGGACGGATCGGGCTGAAATTTGGCATGCAGGTAGATGTTATGCCGTAGGCATCCGCTAAGAAAGGATTTCGATTAATTCTACCCCCAAGGGGATAAAATAGGGGATGAAAGTTTGTATTAAACTTTATCAATTTCAAACGGATCGGGCTGAGACTTTACATGCATAAAGCTACTATGACGTAGGCATCCCCTAAGAAAGGATTTTGATGAATTCCACCCTTAAGAAGATAAATTAACGCGAGCGAAGCCGCGGGCAAAAGCTAGTTCCAGATATTTTCCCTTGCGACGAATTCTAAAGTCAACAGTAGAGACAAAGGAAAGGTTATTGTTAGTAATGTGGACTAATAACCCCATTGTCAGGTTGACCTCCACGAGGATCCAGCTGAAAGCCATCATGATAAGTTCCTGGTGAATTTGCCATAAAGGGTTGACTGATCTGACTTCACGCTCACCACCGACGTATTCCATTAACGTGGGCGGGTGCAGCCATCCATCCATTATCATCATCTGCTTCTTCCTTATCCCATTTATTTGGGGTCGGCGTAATATGTTTTTCTCTTCCATTCATCTCTGTTCGCAGTCATTCCGTTATTTACTCCCTTTCTCACCATATCATCTTTCACACAGTCCATCCAACACTTTTTCGGTCTTCCTCTACCCTTATAACCATCCACATTCATATGTAACACCGTCCTTAGGATATGATCTTCATTCCTACGCATTACATGCCCATACCACGATAGACGATTACTCTTTAACTTCTCTGACATCGGTGCCACTTTCATACTTCCTCTGATGTATTCATCCATCCATTATCATCCTTTAAAAATCAGTTTAGGAGTAGTAGAGATAAATTACAGACTAGTGTACTCACTTTTGTTTCTTCCTTCTGTTCGATGGAGGATATAATCCTCCAGGAGGCCCGGCGGGCACCGATCACGTTCTTGTACGCCACTGAGAGCAGGTTACGCTCCTCGACGGTCAGTTCGTTGTCAGAGACGTTGCGGGATGCCACGTTCTTCATCGCCTCCACCATTTCTGTAACATTCAATTTGTTAGACATGATAGCTCATTAGTATAATTGTGCGTGGGTGTTCAGATTACCCGTCTAGTAAGCGTGAGCGTATAACCCACGCGTCGCCCTAAGAGATCTGCCCTATAACACCTACAGGGCGGATAAAATCCTGACAGAATGGTAATGCGACCCCATGACTCTGGAAACAGTTTTTATAGTAATTCAACATATGCCATGCCATTGTTCTTGACTACATTTCTAATAAATTTGATTGGAATAGAATAGATTTTTAGAGACGAACTTAGCATTCCATAGATTCACCGTACGTGTGCCGGGTCTATCGTGTAGCAAAGAGAGAAGCTCAGAGCAGTTCCCGGGGCTAGTGACCCGGGTGTAGGTTAAGGGGCCCAACACCAGAGACAAAGAAACTCTGAGCAGTTCCCGGGGCTATTGACCCGGGTGTAGGTTTAAGGGGCCCAACACCAGAGAGAAAGAAACTCTGAGCAGTTCCCGGGGCTATTGACCCGGGTATAGGTTTAAGGGGCCCAACACCAGAGAGAAAGAACCGCTAAGCAGTTCCCGGGGCTAGTGACCCGGGTGTAGGTTTAAGTAGTGTTGAGTACGTCGCCAAAGGGTCCCCCTTTGCCGACGTACTCAACACTCTCCTTCACCGCTCGTTTCTCTCCTCGCCCAGTCCAATCTGTTAGTGCAGCTTTATATGCACCTTCTAGTATAGAACCTACTGCCTTCCTCCTTTAAACTTACGTTTTTTTTTTTGTGAATTATACTTCTATAAGGAATGTTGCTTTCGTCTGTCCTAATGTTAGCCGGGTACTAGTAGAAGATAATAATAGGCGGAAAGGGAGACAGGTCAGTTAGCCTACCACATTTTATCGAAAACTACAAAGGCAACTGTGTAAAACTCGACCATTCATAGTGCTATCAGTGAGGCCACTACACTCCATGACTAATCTCCCCAGACTCAAAAAGGGGACGCTGACCTGACCGATTGTATACATTAATTTTATTGCAACAAGCGTAATACGCAAGTTTCTTGCTCATTCTTCTTACGGTGATTTTGAACGTAGTATAAAAAAAAATAGTCTACAGAAGTGGTCATATTAACTTTATTTGAATAAATATTAGTTTTTCCATAAACTAGAGAATTGTGGATAGGAGAAGCTAGTTCTTAATGAGTCTGCGTTCAAAATGAATGGTAGAATAAAAAAAAATATTTTCAAAACTGCCTACATTAAGTTCAGTTGAAATATTATTTCTTTTTTTTCTATAAACTAACTAGCGAGTAGAAGCTACTAGTACACAAAATACTATCTCTCAAAATACAATTACCATTATCTATCCTGCAAGCGTAAAGATATAGGCAGATAAACAGATTATTGCTCTATCGAGAAACAAGTACTTGGTGATTATTCCTTGATAGGTTAGTTTGTTGAATCACCGGAGTGCTTATGTTTATATTGCAAGTTAAAATATCATATTCATGTAGATACATTAATATGATATTTTGACTCTGTAGATCAGTAATCTCTCTGTAAGATCTCCATTACAGACTCTTAGGATATCTCAAAGCTACCGTCAGTTCCGAATGCTTTCGAGCTAAGAACTGATAAGAAATATACTCTTTTTCATTTCAAATGAACTTGTACATGATTACAATATAGAATCTTTTTAAAATTTAATTAGGGAGAATGTAGTGTCCACCCAGCACATTATATTGCAGTTTGTCAAAAGACATCTAATAAGTGGTCGAAACCAGAACAGCCCAGTCTCCACAAAGTTTGACGAAAGAAAATAATCTAACCAGTGGCCCAAGTTACGGCCAGCCTATTCCCCACAAGCAGAATCCGTTCACGAGCATGACGGTAAAGATTTTTTGTATAAGACAAAATAAAATAGTAATTCGTAATATTTTGACGTTCCCTTATTTGGTCGACCATGATTTCCTGGCTTTACTTTAGTTATAAATGTCGCATTTGGTATTTTTAGTTGCTCTGACATTGACCTGAAGTGTTTGGTATCGACCAGACTCGAAGTCACGACCTTCAGGTAGCCAATCATAAGATTTAGCGTTTTATTAAAAAAAAATGGTGACTAATATTCTTTACAATTTAGTTTGTTAGTCACTTGTCCTCCTTTCGAAACGGACGTGACGTAACACTGGTTGCAATTGGGATGACACGAAAACCTAGAATGCAATTGTACAGTTCCCTTATCTGGAACCAAATAAACCCACCCATTTTATGTGGCGGTCATTATCGAGATAACTTTCTACGAAGTCATATCCTAGTCATCAGATTTCAAGCGCCGAACTTCGTAATTTGTTTTTCCGTGAAATGGTGAGATGAGATAGTGAAATTACAGGGTAAAGAGGCATTTCCGTCGTCTGGAATATAACTCGGCGGTGCTACAAATGTAGCATGGTAATGTGATAGAATAGTATATTAAGATCACAATATATTAATATTGTCATGTTCAGTATGCTGCCTTTCTTCTTCGTTGAGGGTTTGGTCCTCATTCTCCCATGATACAATTTTTTGTATTAAATAAATATTTTTTCTAAAAAAAATTCTAAAATAAAGGTAGCCTAAGTGACTCCATATTACATCAACTACCTGCCAATAAAAGTCCCGTCAAAATCGGTCAAGCCATTTCAGAGATTAGCCGGAACAAAGAGACAGACAGACAAAAATTATAAAAAAAATATTTTGGTGTATGTGCTATATTTATATTCATATGCGTGTAGTAAAAAACGGTTATTTCAATATTATAAACAGACACTCAAATTTTATTTATATGTATAGATGTGTATATAATTCAAATTCTTCTTAGTCTCCACTGGATATGTTATGTATGTATTTACTATTATCATCACAGTACATTGTGACAATCAATATACATTACTCCTTTCTTGAGATAGTGGGTGTGATCCTTATTCTCCCGCGTTACAATTTTAAGGTAAATTTATTTTGAATTCATCTAGATGTTTCTCTTCATATGTTATGAGGTGCTTATAAAAAAAAATTACTTAATATGTCTATTAGTACCAGATTTATGCGCATCTGGGAGGAGCTAGGCTGGCTACTTTAGTAGTCTCGGCTCTACATACACACCAACCAATATTAAAGGCTAAATGTGGATAACATGTCCTAATTGGATTATGTCAATTTGAAGATAGTGCTATCTGAGTCATCCAAGATCATTATTTTGTCATTATGACAATTCTTTACAAATATAACTTGATAAAATTAAAATAATCAGTTTTGAGAAACTCATTGTAATTCTACCTCATCTATAATGAGCACTTGACTAAGACAATTCAAACAAACAACAGACATACATGTCCTAATATAGGATGACTTCGGTGGTCTGGCGGTCTAGCACACTTCTTTATGACCGATGGTTGCCGGTTCAATTTCTCACACGGCACAAACATTTGTATTCATGAGTATGATTGTTTGTATCGGTCTGGGTGTTTTCTATGTACAATATGCACATATTTACAAAAAAAATCTATGTATAATTATCAGTTATCTAGTACCCATAACACAAGCTTTAGCTAGCTTAACTTGGGTCTAGATGGCGCTGTGTGAATTGTCCTAAGATTATTATTATTATTATTATTACTTAAGTACAAAGGAAAATTTTTAAAGAGAAATGACACATTTAATACATTTACTGTACTTTGGAAACCAAAGTATAATATTTTCATTGTTAACTCTACATCATTTAATATACTGGTGTTATAATGCATGATAAGATGCAATAAAACAAAAACTTCATAGATTAATATATTACATTATATACCTGCATGATAACAAAGCAAATTTTTTTTAATCAATAATATCTACAATCCTTGACCCACATTTATTAAGGAGTATAACTTGCCCGTACCATAAACTTTATGGTTCTATAAAAGGGATGGAAAATATAAATGTGTTTCAGGATAATTTTCAAAAGGATTAAAATATTAGTTAATTTCTAAAAAAAGAAACCAATATAATAGTCATTTTTTTTTAAAGTCAAGGAACTTATCATAATGTACAGTAATATGGACTCTATTTTCCACATTTAGTCTTTGATCTGGACTGTAGTGCATTGTTTGTAGTCAAGGAACAAATTGGTGAAAGATGGATTTTGTTAAAGTGGCTATTTTGAACGTCCTGTGGTGGCTATCGAAAAAAATCTAAGAATTTTGTTCCAGTTGGTGAAACAATTTAATTTAGTATATTCAATCTTGTCACACTTTACTTAAACCATGATGCAATAAGTAATGTAGATTTTATCATAAGGCTAAACTAATATTCCTAATTTTTTTTTCATAAATATAACTGTAACACAAGAACAGTACAGTTATGCTATTGGTAACTACAAAAAATATATAAGGAAAGCAGGTCAGATTGACTGCACAGAAGTCTAGCAGGCAGTCTAGATTTGGTCTACAATTTCTAGGTCAGCAGACAATATTCACAAGAACATTATATTGTGTATTAAATGATGCACTCTTTAATGATGCTGTTCATCCAATTTAAAACTATTATATTCTTGGTTGTATGGCAGAGTGTACAAAAAAATGGTGGATTTATTTTGTGCAAATAACTTACAACATGATTGTCTTTTAAATTGAGAACATTATTTATTACAATTATTATAAAATGACAAAGACATAATTTTTTCATCACTAATCATTATTGATTTGTAAAGTGAAGTAGTAGACAAAAGCAATGAAAATGTCTGTAAAGTTGTATAATTTTAGTTAATTTGATAGTCTAAGGTCAATGAACTAGGCGATTGCAAATTAGTTCAATGTGAAGGATAAACTAACGGCCTACATCATTATCAGTGAGAGTGAGATTTATCTCAAGATAATTCACTACACAATGAGTGCATTATCTCCATTCAAAGATGTACGTGATAAAACTCCGTGTTCACAGGTTCCCGTCGTGCTAAATTGTGAACAATAGGTGAAACCAAAGAGGCGTCGCCACTAATTCGAGCGTCCCAATGAGTCTGGAACATTCCAACAGCTGTAACAGACTGGTTCGTCTAAAGTACCGACATGCATGAATGACCTCCGTCAACATCGATCGTGCTCGAGTTCCAAGGGACGAGAAATTATGTAGACAATTTTTCAATCTCCAAATGACTTTATGCATAAAAATTAACAAAATGTGTCTTAAAAAGACATAAAAACTCAACGTAGTTATTTCATAGTCTTGTTATAATATAATCTACGTCTTTTCATTTATTCAAATAATATAAAAAACTGAAAGGGCATCTCCCACCGGCGGATGACGCATCGATCGCTGACCAAGCCTAACGAATGGCATTGATTTGTTAAATTCCCAATAAAATATTACAAATTGAATGCGTTACAATGGTTTTCGACCTGATTTCTGGAGTTCAAAGGGGGTGCTAGATGTTTTAGGCTAAAATTATAAGTAACTATCATCAAATCGTCATTCAACTGTCGGCGAAAATAGGATACAATTTTTATCCTTATACATGGGAATTTATCAAAAAATATGTACTTACCATCATAGCGCTCAGCCTGTTCAGCTAGCTTGGCTTTATACACATTATCTTCCCTTTCCGACATTGTGGATGACAAATGATTTTTCACTAACTAAAACCGAATCGCCAGGTCACTAATTCACCAAGATGGCCGCGCCCGCCAACCGAATCCGAATTCGATCTTCAACTAAACTCCGCCCATGACGTCATAGAAAATGGCAACTTCCGTCCATGTGTTCTTGCCATATTCAATATAAAAATATTTACAATTACCTGAAAATTCTTTTATTTTCATCTTTCTTTCGTACAGACCCTATTCTTTAAATACATCATAATATTAAAGGTAAAAATTTCTAACAAATTTCTGATAGAAATTAATTAAAGATGACGTGAACTTTCGCGTCTTCTATCTCTTTTACATACCAAAATTACAAAGAAAGCGTACAAATTATTTAATACTGCTACAGAAAGACATGCTGACTGTATAAGAATGTCTACCTGACTATTATTAAAATGAAATTTTTATTTTTATTTCAAGTTTCATTCATCCTTTCTATAAATATTTTTTTTATCTGTATATATGGGCATTTGTGTCACAAACAAATTAAATAAAAGAAACATTCCTGTCAAATTTAAATTGATATTACAATTTAATTTGGGAAATCATAATTCTTCCATTTCATCTTATGATTTCAAGTAACAAGGAATACTTTATAGACGTCAGTTTAAAAGAAAAAACTTTTCAATAGTCATCACATTTTTTTTTCAGTCTACCGCTCATTCAGAAAGCTGTCTCATTATCTATAAAATGTAGGCTGAAAGATAAGAAAAGCTATAATGATATATGTTAAATGCTTTCTGGTTTTGATTTGATCAGGAAGAAATGTTGCAAACATTTCTCCTCATATTAAATGTTAATGTGTTATGTTTGTAATATTAAACAGTAAATGAATGATAATTTTTTTAATAAGTTTCTCGAAAAGTCATTTCCTGATTTTTGTGTGAATACAGAAATGCACTAAATATATTATACATATTTATGAATTGAAGTAGTATTTGAGGATGAAATAGAAATAAAGATTGGTTTTATTAGAGCTTTTAGTTTTCAAATAAAATCTGAGAACTTATATGAAGTCTTATAATCTTCATTTATGTCTATACTGTACCGATTAGCGGCTCAAGAAAAAGTATGTACTTCAAAAGCATTTAGGTGTAAAAAAAACAAAATATTGACCAGTGAATGTCAGTTATATGTCAGTTGATAAGTATGTGAGACAGACGTCTAAAGTTTTAAGTTACTGTCAAAATCACTTCGTCTGTGGTCAAACTTTGGCTCAGTATTCCCAACTCGACAATTTTATAAAACTGGCTATTTTTTTGTATGCATAAGATAAAATGTTTTTTTTTTTATTAGAATGAGTTATTGCGCGAAAGAACAGCAAAACCTAAATAAATAATGTTTATAATGCCTAGCATTAAATAATTGCACTGAATGAATAAAAAACAATTTTATTCAGGTTGCCTTGCATCTGTAAATATAAAATAATTATTTTTAAGATGTTTATACTGTAATTTCTTTCAATTAATTTTAGAAAACGTATAAGGCAAATATTTTAACTAGTTTATATATATTTGTAAGAATTTCATTGTGTCTTGTACTTGCACATTTCATTGCATAATATATAGTATAGATTACGATTAATAAGAGGTATGCTGAGAGATGAAAAATTGTAGAAATCATCGCTTAAATTAGTGAAGTATAGTTTTCAAACAACAGCAATATTTTTATATTATTAATATACAATTTTAGTAGTATAGTAGTTGTAATAAATATGCGCATTATTAAATATTTATATTTTTTTTAACGTAACTGGTATAGCGAACAATTGGACTCCACTGTTCATATGTACATAGGTACATGAACAGTGCCACGTACCTCTTACTTTCATGCGTTCCCGTTAGGGAGGATTAACGTTTTAAAATGTTTGACTAGTGAATATGTATGTTGCAAATAAGTGATTTTTCAAAATTATGTTTAACTTAAGTTTTTTTTACTTACACATTATACGACGTTTGATAATATAAAACTTTAGATAAACAAAAAGACAATCTTTAAAAAAAATCGGGCGATATAGTGATTCTCCTCATAATATCTAGCTATTGGGTAATAGTGATAGTTGGTAACATTATGTCGGCGGCCATTTTCATAACGAAAAATATTTATATTTTGTTTGCTTGTAAATTTTGTCTTCATTCACTAACTAATTAGTGGGATTTCTTTTTAATTCTTAAAACATTCTATTGTACGTTGTGCATAGTCTAGAAAAATATATCTAAAACATTTTATTGTATTTTTGCAGACTGATTGAAGTCTTACTCAATCGGTCTGTTTAGTTTTACTTTAGAGTTTAAAAGTCTTTTCATTGCTTGTGTTTACGTTTATATTTATGATTTAGACTTTTTACAAGACTCAACAATGTCTAACGTCGCCTATGATCTGGATACGTCGGGCGGATTAATGCCGGTGTGTTAATTGATCAAGTTTGTGATGTGCTATGAAACTGTTTTTGTGAGAATGGCGCCATTTTATTCTTATATCAATTAACATATATTTCTAGGTTTATTTAAGTATTTTTTGATGGTTTTTAGCTTATCCGGGCGCTTATAAAGCCGCCCGACGAAGATTTGAATGCACAGAAGCCTAAGAAATCGCAGCATCCATATTATAAGAGGCCTGGCAAGGGTCACAATCATGATTCTTGCGACGCCTGTGGAGAGGGTGGAGACCTGATATGTTGTGATCGTTGTCCGGCTAGTTTTCATCTTGGGTGCTAGTGAGTGTCATCATTTTATGTGGTCATTATAAAATATAATGAGTTCTTAGGTTATTTATTTATACTTAATCCACCATACAAAAGGTGATATTACATTTGGTGGACTTAACACTGGCTCTATTAATTGTAAGTTACACTAGTGACATATGTGTGACCTTTATAGAACACAAGTTTCAAACTGTTGAAAACATTTTACAGACATTTTATAATTAATTAAGTATATCTCGGTACATTGAACAAATATTCTGTACTGCGGGATATAATATAAATAATGAAATTAATAATTAAGCATAGAAAATCAAACTACATAACAACTGTGCAATTAATAATAGTAGAAAATAAAGTAATAATAAATATAATAATATGAATGAACATGAATATGTAACAAAACAAATTAATGAATAGTACAGAAATAAAGGCTCTTTATATTTATTACATTGAACAAGTACACTAAATATAACAACATTGACAAACAATTAAATTCCATGCCCCAACTTATGCCTATCTGAAATTCTTAGGCTCCCTCCATCCCCTCCCACCCTTATTTTATTAATGAACATTAAAAATTTGAATCGTTCATATAAGAAACTTTAAGGTTTATAAGAAATCACTAGGAAATTGTTAATGAAACAGTATGTAAATTACCAAAATATATAATACAAAATAGAAATTCTCATACCATATAGTTTTAATGAAGAGGCTATTTTCGAATTGTCCTCTTAACAATCGAATTTTGACAGCCTCATTGGTCTAGCGGTTGAGCACAACACTTTACTTCCGATGGTCGCAGGTTCAATTCCTCGTACAGTGCAAATATTTGTATTCATGAGTATGATTGTTTGTATCGGTCTGGATGTTTTCTATGTATATTATGTATGTATTTACTAAAAAAAAAATAAAGTATTTATACCAGTTGTCGGTATACGGTAAACAGAGCTTGTGTTATGGGTACTAACCCATAACACAAGCTCTGTTTACCATAGGACTAGATGGCGCTGTGTCAATTGTCCAGGATTATTTATTTATTTATAAATTGTCTCCTTGTGGGTATGATCCCCCTATATAGAGAACTACTGTCTTAGAAAAAGTGGTTTCAGTCTTTATCTAATGTTTACTGGCTTAATATTATTGTATGTCTTCTAACTACTATATCATAATAAATTTCAGTGATCCCCCATTAGATGAGAATGACATCCCAGCAGGCCTGTGGCTGTGTCGGGAGTGCCGTGCATCTGATGCAGAGAAGCCAGCCAGCTCTCGCAGCAGCCGGGCACAGTCCCCTGCTGACAACAAATCTGACACAGAAAAGAAGACCAGGTTAGTGTTTGATACCATACATACTCGGTGTGTGTTAATGTGATGACCTCGGCGGTCTAGTGGATTAGCACACCGCTTTACGTCCGATGGTCGCGGGTTTGATTCCTCGCACGGCACAAATATTTGTATTCATGAGTATGATTGTTTGTATCGGTCTGGGTGTTTTCTATGTATAATATGTATGTATTTACAAAAAAAATATCTAGCTATCTCTTTAGCTAGCTTAACTTGGGTCTAGATGGCGCTGTGTGAATTGTCCTGAGATTATTATTATTATTATTATACTACTTAATTACTAAACCAGAGGTGTCAAATTCAAATCTGCACAATACCATATAAAAAAAACTTATACCTAAGGCCTACTCCAACAACCTGGCATAAGTTGGAATATCTGGATTCTCAATGGGGAATCACCTCTCACGAGATTTGACAATCAATTAATCTGCTTATAGTCTGGAAGACATTTGCTTGATAAAAAATAAAAACATAGGTGGGCAAGATATAATTAAAAAAAAAATGCAGCGAATTATTATAAGACTAGCTGTACAAGCGACTTTGTCCGCAGGGAATTTAACTTTATTTTTCTAAAATAAAAGTAACCTAAGTTATTCCCTATTACATCGGCTACCTGCCAATAAAAGTCCCGTCAAAATAGGTCCAGCCATTTTGGAAATTAGCGGGAAGAAACTGACAGATAGACAAAAATTGTAAAAAATGTTTTTTTTTACCTATAGTAAAACACGGTTATTTCAATATTACAATCAGACACTCCAATTTTATTTATATGTATAGATTACCAGATTATATATATACACAGATCAAATTATGAAGAAACATATCATATATCAAAATATCTGTATGCTACATTTCATTGTCTTCAGATCCCTCCGTAATCGTTCTAACTCAGCAAAGAAGAAACTCAAAGATGACCAAGAAGAAGAAAAGAAGGAGGTGGAGAAGGAACTGTCACCGATGGAGGTTCTCGTGAAGGCAGCTAAGATCATGAACCCAAAGCAGTTTGAATTGCCGAGGGAGATGAGGGTACCGTGTTTATTCCCAGGCACAGACAAAGGTATTTTAAAAATGTTTTGTGTTTATCAAAAAAATATCATTATTAAAAAAATATATCAGGGAAAGTTGTACAAAGTTATATGTAAGCCAATATTTTGGTTTGTAGGGAGAAATATGTTAGAGAAATAGAAATAATCTTCATTCAAACAAACTTTATATATTGTTAAATAGTTTTAACTATTATCCTTGACAAATATTTGCAGATTTTTGTATAAATTTTAATAATTATTATATCTCTGGATGTTCGTCCCAAGGGAAAAAATCTGGACAATTCACACAACGCCATCTAGGCGTTTTGTGAATTGTCCAGATTTTTTTTATTTTCTTTAAATACATTATATAGATAGATAAAACCATTGTTATGAATACAGATGATTGTGCGACGAATCAAACCCGCGACCATCGGAACTAAAGCGGTAATCGGAACTAAACCGCTAGACCACCAAGACCGTCAAAATATCCCAGGAAAAATGTATAAAATGTGTAGGTACTATTTTTGTATGGTTCATGCTTTATGGTTTATTAATATTGCCTGTCAATTACAGAAGAGAGCAAGAATGGAGGCGCCTCGCTGGTGACGGTGGACGCGTGGGGCTGCGTGCCGCTGCCGGCCAAGACCTGCTTCATCTGCCAGGCCACCTGCAAGCACGCGCCGCTACTGCAGTGCGACTACTGCCCGCTGCTCTTTCATCAGGTAAACTTACTCAGTCATCAGGTAAATTTATTCAGTTTTTTATGAACGGGAATAGTAAACAAACTGACCAGCTTATGGTAAATTACAAGTCACCTATGTACATAAACAGTTAAGTTACACACTACAATGTCGTGTGATCAGCTTACTGCAATTCGGTTGAAGGATAAATATGACAGTGAAATTACTGGGTATGAAAATGTGGTCTCTGGAATACTAAAACATAACTCAAGCCATCTGAAAGTTCATTATTAATTAAATAAATTAAATAACAATTAACACGATATCACTTCTTAGACAACTGATATAAATACTTAGTTGGTTCTTTTATAACATAATATACATAGAAAACATCCAGACCAATACAAACAATCATACTCATTAATACAAATGTTTGCAACATGCAAGGAACTGAACCACCGAGGCTGTCACAGTGGCAGATTTGATTGTTTGTATTTGGCTGTATTGTTTATGTATTTAAAAAAATATAAGGCAAGTCATAATTGAATGGTATATGACATAACAAAAATGCCAGCATATTCTGCAGCTAGAAGACTGGCAGTAGCTCTCTTGCATATGAGTAGAAGTTTCCAATAGGAAGCCATTCTACAGTACAGCATCACAGAACAGATGCATTCAGTCTTAGGACCACTTTTTTTTTTCGGACTACTTTAATGTTGGCCGCAGCTGGCCTTTACAACTTCACCGGACGATAGGGGGCGAATGCAGATGGCACTCCAAACCCGCAGAAGGACTTATTGAGCGGCTGAAGGCCAACTCCTGCCCGACGGATACGACTTTAGTCTTAGGACCGATTACAAATATCATCAGAAAAAAGAAAGATTATTACTTGTCTATTAACCATAACAAAAGCTCTGCTTATCTTGGGGCTAGATGGCGTTGTGTGGATTGTTCAGGGTTATTATTATGTTTTATAAAGTTACTTATAGTTAGTTAGTTATTATATATTATAAAGAACCTCATGTTTGTGAGTTCCTTTCTTTGGTTCATATTTGTTCATACATGTTTCCATCACTATAGACACAGAAATTTTATTTGACAGAGTTTGAATACGATGTTTTTTTCAGGACTGTCTGGATCCACCTTTAACTGCGTTACCGACTGGCCGCTGGATGTGTCCTAATCACGTCGAGCAATATATCGTAAGTACATCATATTGTCCTACAATACCTCACTTTTTAATAGCATTAAAGGTCTAGTATACTGACATTGCAAATAAAATAGTTATGGGGACACTAACAGGCCATTACTAAACTTTAACACATAGACCGCCCAACGGTGGGTCACTCTGCAACAAAAGTAAATTTACACATTGGGACTGGGTGATCACCCATGGGCACTTTAATTGAAATAAATCTAGGGGTTAAATAATGTCTATCTCAAATTATTGTATACTAAAAATATATAGAAAGAGGTGTGAGACAGACCCATTATCTCCCAAACTTTTCAATGCAGTATTGGAATATATTTTTAGGAAATTGGTATGGGATAATTATGATCTCAACATTAACGGTAGCCGTCTAAACCATCTAAGATTCCCAGACGACATTGTCCTTTTAGAAGAAGATCCCAAGAAACTAGGACTTATGGCAAAAAGCCTATCAGACATAAGCAGAGAAATAGGACTAGAAATGAATCCAAACAAAACGAAGCTGATGACTAACTCTATAGAGGTATGCATAGAACATGATGGAAACAGCTTGGATTATATAAAAGATTATGTCTATCTGGGGCAAACCATCTCCCCCATGAATTCAATGTCCAAGGAAATAAACAAAAGAATTGCAATCGGATGGAAGAAATACTGGTCCCTGATAGAAATAATGAAGAGTAAGGATATAAACATGCATATTAAGACTAAAACTTTCAACACTAGTATCCTACCTTGTATAATATATGGATGTGAAACATGGTCTTTGACTGAGAATCATATGGACCGACTGGCAAAATGTCAAAGGGCAATGGAGAGGAAAGTAAGTGACAAAATCACAAACTGGGACATCAGACAGAGAACAAAAGCCACAGATGTAGTCTCTAGAATAGACCATTTAAAATGGAGTTGGACTGGGCATATGCTAAGGTGCAAAACAAACAAATGGAGCAAGCAAGTGACTCTCTGGTATCCTAGGGACGGGACCAGCAGACAGGGTCGCCAAAGAACACGATGGAAAGTTGACATCAACCTGACTCTGGGACCGTTCTGGAACAGGGTTGCGGAAAACAGAGCTCAGTGGAGAGAGCTGGAGGAGGCCTATGCCAAAAGGCACACCGAGTTGCGGGACATTTTGTAACACAGCAAATGTATCCCAACTTTCGGAAAAAAGGGCTATTATTATTATAAAAACATATTTAAAAAGTAATATACGTAAATAACAAAAAAATGCCGGTCTCTATGTGAGAAATAAGATTTATCAATGCGGTCTTCAATATAATAACAAACTGTTATATAAACATGACATAAATGTGGGTAACACAAAAAAGTACATAAGTACATTTTTGGAAATGTGGCGTCGTAAAATCGCTTGCGTTTTTTCTATGCAGCCTCCCTTATTCCTCTTGATTTTATTCCTACTGTATGAATAAACAAAAATTTTTGTAATCTATACTATTGTATACCTATTTACACAATATTATAAATAGAGAGAGAGAGAGAGAGAGATGTTATTATCAAGAAACTAAATTCTGGAAGCATTTCATACACTTAAGATATTCTTTCATTTTGTAAGATATATTATTCTAGTCTATACAGGCTGTAACGGACAGGTTGGCAAAACTGAAACTGTGAATTCAGACCATTATTCTAAATCAGCTGTTTTCGTTTTGGCGTTACACCCTGTATATTGTGTTATAAGAATATATATAAAACTCTAAGTTACAATTATCCGAGATAATCTGCGTCGGTCCATTAGTATTCAATAATATAATTGAGTTATAGAAAGTCTGTTTAAAAGAAGGTTAATTCTATCTTGAAAATAAACGTGTATATTTTTTTAAGGATTGGAAGCTAGTGAACTCCATCTCGGCGACGGAGCGTGTAGCTCTATGGGAGAAATTCTCAGGACCGGTGGACCAGCACGCCATCAAAGTGGACTTCATCAGGCGAGCCAGGAACCCTCATCCTTCATTCAGGTTAGTTTGGTGCTGTACACACTACCTCTAGTGTAGGTGTGGCTGTTTCTGTCTTATATATTTAATCAAGCTTGCGTAAACGGTTTTGTTTTGGTAGGTTAGATATAGCGGGTTTTGGTAGGTTAGGAACTCATGAGGGTTAACTACGGGTAAGGGCGTCGCAAGTTGCATTGCGTACTTATGTCGGTGAGTGGTATGTTAAATTCAAATCAAAAATCTATTTTTCATGTAGGACATAAAATGTCTGCCTCTTATGAACGTCAAGTTTTTGTATTAACCTTTTTTCCCTACTGTCTAGTTCAGTATACAGATTCAATCGAGAAGAACTGGCGGGAAACTCAACTGAATTTCTTTGTTTTAACTGTTGCGATGCGCGTGCGCAGGGTGAAGGTACCGGCGGGAGTGCGAGGACGCGTGAGAGTCCCGCGCATGGTGCGCCTGCACTACGAGCGGCCCCCCCCCCTGCAGCCCGCGCGCCGCGAGCACGTGCGCTGCGAGCGCGGTACGTACTGTGTGTGTGTGTGTGTGTGTGTGTGTGTGTGTACTGCGACACCAGCATGGTGCGCCTGCACTACGAGCGGCCCCCCCCCCTGCAGCCCGCGCGCCGCGAGCACGTGCGCTGCGAGCGCGGTACGTACTGTGTGTGTGTGTGTGTGTGTGTGTGTGTGTGTGTGTGTACTGCGACACCAGCATGGTGCGCCTGCACTACGAGCGGCCCCCCCCCCTGCAGCCCGCGCGCCGCGAGCACGTGCGCTGCGAGCGCGGTACGTACTGTGTGTGTGTGTGTGTGTGTGTGTACTGCGACACCAGCATGGTGCGCCTGCACTACGAGCGGCCCCCCCCCCCGGCAGCCCGCGCGCCGCGAGCACGTGCGCTGCGAGCGCGGTACGTACTGTGTGTGTGTGTGTGTGTGTGTGTACTGCGACACCAGCATGGTGCGCCTGCACTACGAGCGGCCCCCCCCCCTGCAGCCCGCGCGCCGCGAGCACGTGCGCTGCGAGCGCGGTACGTACTGTGTGTGTGTGTGTGTGTGTGTGTACTGCGACACCAGCATGGTGCGCCACCTATAAACATTTTCTCGAAGTTACGAGACTTTCTCAAGCGTAATTCCTGTTTCACCATATAAATAGCTTCTAAAAAATTGTCATTAAAAATCTTCGACGATGTTAGAAACGTCCTAGTTAAGTCGTTTAATTTTTTCCAAAAGTGTGTCAGTAACACATTTGAACAGATTACTAGAAAGTAAATCTCTAAACAATATGAACGATAAATAGAATATGAAATATTATATTTCAGTGCTAAAAAATCTAAAAGAAAGCCAAGACTATTATGAAACTGAGGATGAGGATGAGAAGCCCAAACACAAGATCTGCCTGAACTTATCGTGTCCCGAGTACTCCGGCGGTCGCTGTCCTCGTGCTTCCCCACCTCCGTCGCCGCCAATGTTGCAACAAGCCACACAAGCTGATGCTGCAGATGATCTCGAGGCCATCTCTGGACACGCTAAGGTACTTACACGACGTTCTATCAGGCTGGAATCGGTTTTCACGCAAGAATGTGAATGTAAATAAAGAGCACGAGATATACCGCGCGCATCGCTAACTTCGTCGCATTCACGCGTTCTGCTTTAGTGCCTTTTTATAATAATTAATATTGCAAAAGGAGAACACCTAACTATACAGCAAAGACGTAATTATTGGGTTTTTCATACACTATAACGATCGTTGTAACATATGTATGCATTAAAATAACTTTAATTTGAAGATTTTCATGAGCTGACACATCGTCCCCATATTATAACACTATTATATTATCTTTTCTCTTAAAAATAAAATCAGAAAAAGTGGACAAAATCACAGAAATTGGTATATGTTACAGATTGATAGGAACAGCGATGAATCCAGCGAGTTGTCAGACTCTGACTTCGAGTATTTGACGGCGTCTGTGAAGAAGCGCAGACTGTCGCCCGAGGAGCGCAGGCGTGGTCAGAGGAAAGACCGGCTCGAGCTGAAGGCCGACGGCGATGTGGAGGAACTACTGGCCGCGGTGGACGACCAGCTCAAGAAACTGGACGAAAGGCTCGTCAAGTTGTTAGCTTGGCAGAGACTTCAGCAGGTAATAATTGGATATTTTATAAAGAATTCAGATTTAGATTGATATGTACTGTAAATTTATGACATTATTTCTTGGCCATATATCAGAAAGTTAATAGCCTGAGTTTAATGAAATTGAGTCTTTCATCCTTCACAAAAATGTCATGCTTGACCTGATAGTGGCAAGAGCATAAAACTTTCTGTCGTATTTAACCCTAGTAACCCTGCAAGCTCATGGGGTTGTCTATAATGATATTTAAAATTGCAGTCTGTAATGGCGTTTTATTCCGGCCTTCCAAATACAGCCAAAATCTGAAGTGCATCTTCAGATTTTGGCGGTATTTGGGAGGCGGGCGTTAAATTAATGAAGTGATCTTTTATATAGATTACAGTTATTATAAAGCAGGCCAGAATTATCGATATATGTCATCACTTTTTTATAAATACTTGATCTGACTGCGATTGAAAATATATTTTTTTATTGTGGATGAATGAAATGATGCACTTGCCTGCGCTAACGGTTTACGCTGGCGGGGCGTCAGTATAGAATAACAAGATGAGTATGTGGTTAGGTCAGTTTACTCATCATCATCTGCTTCTTCCTTATCCCATTTATTTGTGGTCGTCGTAATATGTTTTTCGCTTCCATTCATCCCTGTTCGCAGTCATCGCGTTATTTACTTCCTTTCTTATCATATCATCTTTCACACAGTCCATCCATCTCTTTTTCGGCCTTCCTCTGCCCTTATAACCATCCACATTCATATGTAACACCTTTCTTAAAATATTATCCTTGTTCCTACGCATTGCATGTCCATACCATGATAGACGATTACTCTTCAACTTCTCTGACACCGGTGTCATTTTTATACTATGGTTAGGTTAGTTTACTCGTTGTGGTAAATTCATTATGAATTTATCACGATGGTTTTCAGGGGGAATTGCATAGAGGTTGTTCTAAAAATGTACCATTGCCAGTGTAGCAACACAGTTTTTACACGTGCCACTATCCACTTCCTGGAATCCTTATCGCACGGCACGTGTAACATTAGAAACGCAGCTGCGCGACTTTCAAGCCGTCGTTACCTGCAGCTGCGCTTAAAGGCGACACGTGTAAAATGGTATATAAGGTTCGAATATTTTTACACGCGTTGCTACATCAGCAAGGAGACACTAGACCTTACTACTAATAATCTCCTTCCGCCCCGAATGTCACGGTTACTCCGTGATTATCCCCCGGCGTCTGACATGTAACGAGCGAGGCGTGTGTGTGTGTGTGTGTCAGGTGGCCGCGGGCGAGGCGGTGCGCGGAGTGTGGCGCGGCGCGGCGCTGGGCGCGGCGGCGGCGGCGGCCGTGCGGCGCTCGCTGGACCGGCCGCGCCTGCTGCGGCTGGGAGTGAGGCGCGCGCACCTGCCCTCCGAGCTGCTCACGCGCGCCGAGCGCGAGCGCATCGCCGCCGCCGTCTGGGGGCCGCCGCCCGCGCCCCGCGCGCCCCCGCCGCCCCCCGCGCCGCCCGCCGCGCCCGCCAGGGCCGCGCTCGTGGCGCTGCGCCCGCCCGCCAGGTGAGTCGCCCTCCCCGCCGCCCCCCGCCCCCCGCCGGCCGGGAGTGAGGCGCGCGCACCTGCCCTCCGAGCTGCTCACGCGCGCCGAGCGCGAGCGCATCGCCGCCGCCGTCTGGGGGCCGCCGCCCGCGCCCCGCGCGCCCCCGCCGCCCCCCGCGCCGCCCGCCGCGCCCGCCAGGGCCGCGCTCGTGGCGCTGCGCCCGCCCGCCAGGTGAGTCGCCCTCCCCGCCGCCCCCCGCCCCCCGCCGGCCGGGAGTGAGGCGCGCGCACCTGCCCTCCGAGCTGCTCACGCGCGCCGAGCGCGAGCGCATCGCCGCCGCCGTCTGGGGGCCGCCGCCCGCGCCCCGCGCGCCCCCGCCGCCCCCCGCGCCGCCCGCCGCGCCCGCCAGGGCCGCGCTCGTGGCGCTGCGCCCGCCCGCCAGGTGAGTCGCCCTCCCCGCCGCCCCCCGCCCCCCGCCCCCCGCCCCCCGCCGGCTGGGAGTGAGGCGCGCGCACCTGCCCTCCGAGCTGCTCACGCGCGCCGAGCGCGAGCGCATCGCCGCCGCCGTCTGGGGGCCGCCGCCCGCGCCCCGCGCGCCCCCGCCGCCCCCCGCGCCGCCCGCCGCGCCCGCCAGGGCCGCGCTCGTGGCGCTGCGCCCGCCCGCCAGGTGAGTCGCCCTCCCCGCAGTCATTAGGTAAGTCACCCTCACTGCAACACATGTCGCCAACATTTTAAAGACGCCAAACCAATAACTCGTCTCACTGCTTCGCGCCGCCGAGTCTGTCACCGCCAGGTCAGTGCACACCGTATACTACTCCACGATTGTACTGTTCCACGTCAGTGTCGCAACTGATCCGTGAACGTAACCGCGTCTCTGACTCTTGACTCGTAACCCACGTAATCTCAACGAATATGTATAATGATGTGTGCGGTTGTGTTGTCAGGAACGGCCTGGGCGCGGAGGCGGGCGCGGCGGCGGCGCTGGGCGAGGTGTGCGCGGTGCGGGGGGCGGCGTGGGTGGGCACCGACACCGCCTGCGACGTGCGCCTCGAGCCCGCACGTGCGCCGCGCTGCCGGGCGCTCTCCGCGAGGCACGCGCTCATATTCATGGACGAGGTCGGGACGCGGTGCATATAGTCTTACAGATCACGGACAAGGAGATGGTGATGATAGTGATGAGTGATGATGGTGATGATGATGAGTGATGGCAGATGATTGTGGTCATCATCAACGGCCTCGGTGATTTAGCGTGGTTTGGCATACCGCTTTACATCCGATGGTCGCGATTTCGATTCTTCACGCGGTACAAACGTTTTATATTCGTGGGTATGATTGTATCGGTCTGAGTGTTTGCTATGTGTGTTATGTATGTATTTACAAAAAAAATATCGTAAGTATTTATATCAGTTGTCTAGTACTGATAATACAAGACCCTATATATCATGGGACTAGACAGCGCTGTGTTAATTGTCCAAGACCATATATTTGTTTTTTATCAAGTAGGAGATGATGACGAATATATTGATGATGATGACGATATGGTAATGACAGTGATAAAAATTTTAATGGTGATAATACTGAAGATGATGATTATTAAATTACCACTAATAACATTTGTGAAAGTTAATTCCTGTAGTTTCCATTTGCCTTATTTTGTATTAAAATATAAAGAATAGAAATTGACTATTAGGTTCTCAGAATAAAAATCTGTCGAACTTTTTGTAGGTCTATTCCTTCGACATCTATTCCTACACATTTAAATAATTCGACGACCTCGGTGGTCTAGCGGTCAAGCACACCGCTTCACGACCGAGTGTCGCGGGTTCGATTCCTCGCACGGCACAAACATTTGTATCCATGAGTATGATTGTTTGTATCGGTCTGGGTGTTTTCTATGTATAATATGTATGTATTTACAAAAAAAAAAAAATATCTATGTATATGTATCAGTTATCTACATAACACAAGCTCTAGCTAGCTTAACTGGGGTCTAGATGGCGCTGTGTGAATTGTCCTGAGATTATTATTATTATTATTATTATTATTAATTTCTAACTAGACCAAAAATTTATTATTTATACATTTCCAGCTATCACTATAATTGTATAATTAAATCACATGTCCAGGTGACGCAACACTTTGAGTTAATAAACTACTCAGAGTGGGGCACGCGCGTCAACGGTGTATTGTACACGTGCGACATCACGCACAGCGAGCATGAATCCGAGCACGAGCGCGAGCACGAGCACGAGCGCGAGCACGCGGCCGAGCACGAGCACGACGAGCAGCGGGAGCCCGATGAGGCGGAGGCGCGCGCTCGTGCCGTCAGAGACATCGTGAGGCATCGAATGCCGCGACCGATTAGGTAACTAATTATTTAATTCATTACTTTTTTTTGAACTGGAATAATATAATTTTAGAAAATGGATAATGTAATAAGCAATCTAATTGATCAACTGATACGGTTTGTGCGTGAAACTGCACCTTTATAAAGGAGGGTCACTGGTTGAAAGGGGTGGTGTATAGGTGCTACTATGGTAGATTGCCATCGTCAGTGCCGTGACCATAGAGACTTTATATTTGTATTATTATTTCATATATATGTAGTCTATAATGTATTTATAATATAGGTCATTAGTAGTCTGAAATGAATAAATATATTAATTATATATTTTATTGAAAGTGAAATATATAGCAAGCCGACTGACTGCTCAGCTGATAATTTTACACGTATACTCTGTCACGTACAATTGGGCCTGTAAATAAGGTTCTCTGGATTACTCCTGGGTTCCTCAATAACTGATATGACTGATAACTGATATCATCATCTGCTTCTTCCTTATCCCATTTATTTGGGGTCGGCCTAATATGTTTTTCGCTTCCATTCATCCCTGTTTGTAGTCATCGCGTTATTTACTTTCTTTCTCACTATATCATCTTTCACATAGTCCTTCCATCACTTTTTCGGTCTTCCTCTACCCTTATAACCATCCACATTTATATGTAACACCGTCCTTAGGATATGATCTTCATTCCTACGCATTATATGTCCATACCACGATAGACGATTACTCTTCAACCTCTCTGACATCGGCGCCACTTCCATACTTCCTCTAATGTATTCATTCTTTATCTTATCCATTCTTGTCACACCACACATCCACCTCAACATTCTCATTTCAGTCGCATGCAGTCGTCTTTCATATGACTGATAACTAATAATGACTAATTTTTACATGTTTGCGAGGGTGCTGCTCCTCACAATTCACCCTCACAACTGCAGCTGACTTTCACTAGTCTTCATAATACATCTTTCCTAACCATCTTATAAGTTTTCGACATGATTTATTGAAGAAACCTCTGACTGGGATTAATAATATGACGATTTTGTAAGAACGGTCCGCGACATTGCAGAGTGAACGGGTCGCTGTCGGGCGGCTCGGGCTGCGGGTGCGGGGGCGGCGGGGGAGCGGCGGCGGCTGCGGGCGCGTGGGAGGGCTCCGCGCTGGTGCCGCACGGCGCGCTGCTGCAGTTCGGGTGCCTGCGGTTCGTGTTCAGCATCACCGACGCGCTCGCCCCGCACGTCGCCCTCGACCCCGCGCTGTAGCCGCCGGGGCCGGCTCTGCTGCCGCCGGACGCTGCCGTTCGAGTCCAATCATTCACCTGCAGTGCTCGTAGGTCATCGTTGACGTCCATCGAGCTATTCCGGTCGGTGAACTTAGTGAAGTTTTAATATTGACCTCTAAAAGTAGTTCGGACGGTAGTAACTTGATAGATCAAGACGTGAACGTATTTACATGGAATTATAGAATCATTATGTGACTCGTAAATTTTGGCGATTAAAATCCGGCTCGAAGGACCAAAAAGTGTATAGTACCCGATCTTTATATTTGATAAATTGCTGATTTGTATTGTGTAGTATCACGTGAATATAATAGAACGATATACATTATCAACTACTTTATTAGTACTGATACTTTATCGTTACTATTGACTAGAAGTACGGTGTTGCCCGTACAAATATGAAGATGTGTATTCAGCGCACCCTTAGCTTTACAGCGCTCCAGCGCTGTTTTAAGACTTAATTCAGTAACTATCTGTATTTTCATAAATACTGATCCATTAGGACAATTTCATGATAAATGATTATCAAACATAATCTTTGTAGAAGTTGTGTAATTCTACTTACATTATAATATAGCTGCGAATTCATGTTGTATTTAAATATTTCTATTAAAATAAATAAAATTTCTTTAATAAAACACCTACGTTACTCCTTATAACATTAGCTATCTGCCAGTGAAATTCTCAACGAAATCGGTCCAGCCATTACAAAGCCTTGCAAAAATTTATAGTGCCTTTTGGCATAGGCCTCTTCCAGCTCTCTCCATTGATCTCTGTCTTCCGCAGCCCTATTCCAGAGTGATCCCAGAGTCAGTTTGATGTCGTCTTTCCATCGTGTTCACTAACAATGTCTCTGGTCCCCTCTCTAGGATACCAGAGAGTCACTTGTTTGATCCATTTGTTTATTTTCCATTTAAGATGTTCTATTCTTGAGAGTACATCTGGTACTTTAGTTCTCCTTAATTAAGCCTTGGTTTAACCACAATCTGAAGATTAAACGCCAACAAGAGTAAACGCCACCACACATCCTATGTGGTTGTAGCCCACTCATGCATAAACGAAATATCTCCTTTGGAAAGTATATACTCTATCCTGAGGAGATAAAAACCATCGCTCCTAAGAATATCTTTCAATTCTTGTCCCTCACGGGTCTAGGTAGCGAACTTTGAAAGGTCACATAGCTACTGAGAATAGCCGAAAATGACCAGTAAAAAAAAATTGTTCACCTTCTGATATCTCAGTTTGTGATTTTATCACTTACCCCATCATACTTCTCTCCTAGATATAAAAATAAACTAATAATTAAATAACCATTCAATTAAACTCCTTATTTGCAACAGTATGGGTACAAATTAATTTTTATAATATAATATTTAAAATATATTTTAGACCTAGTTGTCACGCAAATATATTTACTATCGATATAATTAAAATAATAATAATCTCAGGACAAGTTACAGCGCCATCTAGAACCAAGTTAAGCTAGCTAAAGTTTGTGTTATATGTACTGGATAACTGATACTAATACATAAATTTTTTTTTGTAAATACATACATATTATAATAATCTCAGAACAATTCACATAGCGCCATCTAGACCCAAGTTAAGCTAGCTAAAGTTTGTGTTATGGGTGCTAGATAACTGATACAAATACATAAATATTTTTTTCATAAATAAATACATATTATAAAAATAATTTTAGGACAATTTACACAGCGCCATCTAGACAGAAGTTAAGCTAGCTAAAGCTTGTGTTATGAGTACTAGATAACTGATACTAATACATCGATTTTTTTCGTAAATACATACATATTATACATAGCAAACACCCAGATCGATACAAACTAAAACAAATTCAATTACAATACAAATAACATTTTTTTATATTTATGTCACTGTTAATATTTGACATCAAAAATTTTAACTAAGTTCAAATATATAAGTGATAATCAGTCACTGCCAGAGAAATACATATTGATGTACTGTACGTAACTCAAATAGTGTATTAAATAAATAAATATTTTTTTAATATATGATAATGGAATGGTGCACCCGTCTGCGCCTACGGTTTCCGCTGGCGGGGCACCAGTGGATGATAAGATGAGAGAAGTCACATCAGTTAGCCCATTGTGAAAAATCCATCAGGAATTTATCATGGTGGTTTCAGGGAAGCATGGAAGTCAAGCATGGTGCATTGTTAGCTATGGAATCATCAGTCCATATTACTGACAATCCACTTTGCCCTTATATCGTAGATTAAATAGAAAAATGTCATTTTTCAAAATTAGAAGCTAGAATTGCCTCCTTTTATATAAGTCAATTAAATTAACCGCGCCGTCTTAATCATTATCTAAGTACTTTTAAAATGATATATAATACTTTTGTGTAATTTTTTGTTAAAACTTTAAAGGAAAAAAATTAATTTAATTAAGTTTAAAAAACTTTAAATGCTTGATGTATGTTCAGCGCACACTTAAATATTTACAGTACTCCAGCGCTGTTTTAATAACTAAGTCAGTAAGTATCTGTATTTTCATAAACACTGATCCATTAGTACAATTTCAAAATGATTATTAAACATAATGTTTGTAGGAGAATTTGTGTAATTCTACTTACATTCTAATGTAGCTGCGAATTCGCTTTGTTTTTAACAATTTCTATTGAAAATGCTTATCTCGTAAAAAATGTACATTTTGAATATTGCCATTTTTCTATTTAACCAATGAATTCTAGTGTATTTGAATGAATATAGTATATAACATATAATCAATTGCATCGTTAGATAATCTGTTATGTAGGACTGCAGTCGCGTTCTTTGCGTGGGCGCTTTGATAATTTATTGTGGCAACACTGATTTGTAAATACATGTTTAGTCGGAAAAGATATACCAAGCCAATAGTAATTTAAAATCTTTATATATAAAAATTACGTGACATGTTTGTCAGCGATGGACTCCTAAAATTGTGAACCGATTGCAAATTTGATTTGCACATTGTGTGCAATTTGATCAACTTGAAAGATAGGATAGCTTACATCTCAATTTATAGTCGCAATGTTATTTTATTCAAGAACCTTAGCCACAACAATGCGTGGCCTGATCTGATAGTATTATATAATACTATACCGCAAACGTTTTCCTAAATAAATTAAAATAGGCTACGACAACTGTTTACCATCAGATGGGCCGTATGTTTGTTTACCACTATCATAGTATAAAATATATATTACTAGCTTTTGCCCGCGGCTTCGCTCGCGTCAATTTATCCCCTTAGGGGTGGAATTTATCAAATAAAAATAAGTAATTTTTTTTTCTTAGGGGATGCCTACGTCATAGTAACTTTATGCATGCAAAGTCTCAGCCCGATCGATTTAAAATTGACAAAGTTTCATACAAACTTTCATCCCCTATTTTATACCCTTGGGAGTAGAATTAATCAAAATCCTTTCTTAGCGGATGCCTACGTCATAACATCTACCTGCATGCCAAATTTCAGCCCGATCTGTCCAGTGATTTGGGCTGTGCGTTGTTCACTATGTCAGTCACCTTTGAGTTATATATATTTAGATAGTGATGTTTTAAAATGAGAATTGTTATCCCAAGTGAATTATGAAAGCGTCCATTTTGTTTATAATCATTTTCATAAACTGCCAATGTTTCTAGAACGCTATATACCAGCTTGTTTTATATTTAACACGTTAATCGCTATGCCAGTCATATGACAAAGGATATATTGGAATTACCCTTAAATAAATTCAAAACATCTGTTAAATCATATTTACTGAGCAAGGCCTATTACTCACTAAACGATTACTTGAATGACGAGCGTGCATGGCAATAGTTTTCATGTTCGGGATTTTCATTTAATGTTAGACATAGACACCTATATAAATACCTATGCATTGTAAATAAACTGGATTTAAAAAAAAAAGTAATTCAATTGAGTTTCTTGCCAGTTCTTCTCAATTGGATCTATGTACCGAACTGGACGGTAGGGAAAAAAAATTATAATGTAAAAACTTGACGTTCATAAGCGGCTAAAATGTCCTACATGAATAAATGATTTTTGAATTTGAATTTGAATTGAATTTATGTACCTGACACTAATAAGTTCTTCATGAGCCATGTCAGACGTATATGTCTGACGTACGCGATTTGGTAGAAGGCGCAGTGTATGAATAAACGATTTTTGAATTTGAATTTGAATTGAATTTATGTGCCTGACACTAATAAGTTCTACATGAGCCATGTCAGACGTATGTCTGACGTACGCGATTTGGTAGAAGGTGTTGTGTTCAAAACAACAGGTCAATATTTGTTGTGTCTTGTTTGGATGCGTCAGACATATAAGACTGACACGACTTGTCGAGAAAAAAGTTTTAACATAGGGCATATCAGTTATATATGTGACATAAAAAAAAGTGTTTTTCCGGGAATTTTGGCATAAAAAAAAATTGTGATACATTAAGTTAACACATACATTTTTAACTAAATTATCTAATAAAGTTACCACAGCTCATGTGAATTTTTTTCTGATATTAGAGTGGCGATTAACGTGTTAATGATATATTGGATTTCTGTGTTGACTCATGTAATTTTAGTATAAAGAATGGAAGGATATGTGTAATGGGTACTATAGTACTTTGATAGGAACGTACCCTGTTATTTTTTTAAATAGATGAATGTGAATTAATAATACTTGAATGTAATGGTGAATCCGTCTGCTCTGAAGTCAGGTCACTTTAAAAAACTATATAAATGTAAAGTTACAATATTTCTTTAAAATAGCAACACGCAAGTTTCTTGCTCGTTCTTTTTTGATGAGATAGAAAAATAAATAACACTATTGCAGAGTGGTTAAATTTAAGTTTATTTGAATAAAGAATTTTCTATTCTATTCTATTCTAGTAACAATCACTTCAAATCGGGTTAAAACACCTGATTATTTCCTGATGGAATCCATGAAGATCTAAAAGTTTAATTCTTTCAAACTTGCCAGTGTTCATACTATCAGAGCATCCCGAAGATCCCCATCTTCATACATCTACGAAAAAAATGTAAGAAAAAAAATTTGGATAAATAATTATCTGTGTAAAACAACTCCAGTATGTTAATATTGTCATTTAGGTTTACCCTGTAGCATGGTGCGGGTGACAATTACTAATTTTACATTTAACAATAGCTACATTTAAGTTAATAATGATTTAATATATCACGAATGTGGTACAGCTGAAATACTAAGTCATAATTTGTAAATCGCAGCAACAGCAAGAGTGAAACGAAACGTTGATGGTACTGGCACTCGCACCATGCGTACATTGTATGTATTTTGTATTTGTATTTGTTAAAATTACATTCGCCAGAGTGGCGTGTATGGTGTGACGGTGATTCTGATATATTGATCACATTATATGGTTTGTTAACTATATAGTACCTACATAAAAAATTAAGGATACTAGTTTATTTTTACTAAATGATTGATGCATTAGATTTAGTATTCATGTTTATGTTTGTGAAAATATAAGTATTTTTAAGGATATAACATTGTTTTTATTTATGACCCGAGAGTTCGCGTGGAATAAAAAATAATATCTTCATTACTTAGTATAAAACTGTTGTAGTAATAAGAAAAAAGACTAGGTTCTTGATTTTCAAAAGCAATGATATGCCGGATGTTTTTTAAGAAACGCATGGTAGGTATAGGGTTGGCAAAATATTTATTTTTGTAATTCCTTTTTTATAGCTTTTTGACCATTTCTGATTAAGGGGGAGTGTTGTAACTGGCTAATCAGATATGTATTTTATATTCTAAATTTGTATTTGAATTTATAGTTCTTTTATATTACATTCTTGTTTTTTTGATACTTCAATTCATTCTTTCTGTTGTCAATATGTTAGTTCTCTATTATTAATATATTTTCTCCGTTTACCTAGTCTTCTTTCTTATTACTACAACAAAAACAAAGTCGGTCGCTGTCTGTCCGTCCCTATATATGCTTAAATCTTTAAAACTACGCAACGGATTTTGAAGTGCTTTTGTTTAATAGACAGAGTGATTCTAGAGGCAGGTTTATATGTATAATACATATACACCCGGGCGAAGCCGAGGCGAGTTCTTCTATTCTTCTCATGCTGTCTGCCATTCTGGTACTCGTGGAGTGGACCGCCTATTGCTGCTTTGATTTGGTCGGTCCATCGCATGGGTCTAGTACCGTCACGGGGTCTAGTACCATCAACTCTACCCTTGTGAAGGATTAGGTATCAGGATGGCGAAACAAAACTATATATAGAAAATTATTTATTTTTATCTTAGAACAATTACAATGAATGGTATAGAAAAATACAAAGACAAAACAATATACAACTAGATAAATTCATTTTTAAACACATGTCAAATAAATATAAAAAAGTAATTCATTCTAACAACTCTAAAGAGTTCTGTAACAACCCTGTATGACAAGTCGCTCTATGGATGCTTCGTTTTTTCGTTAGACGTGACCGAATGCGAGTAGCTAGTCTAAAATAAAAGTAAGTTATGTAATGCTCTGACCTGCGATTGAAAGTCTCTAAGATACCAGTGTAGGCTTGCTGTGGATACACACGGTTAGTTTTCCCCTCGGATTCATCCCCCGTCCAAACGGATCGAAATTACAGCCTGAGCCGAGGTTCGAACTCCAATCAGTGCCCTCATACTAAAGTCGTAGCCGTCAAGCGGGAGTTGGCCTTTAGCTGCTCCATAAGTCCTTCCGCGGGTTTGGAGTGTCATCTGCACTCGTCCCCTATCGTCCGAGGAAGCTGTAAAGGCCAGCTGCAGCTGCCAGAGTAGTCCGAAAAAAGGGTTAGTTTTTTTATAAAGGGTACCAAGCTGTAACTTAGTGATAATATTCGTGAAAAAATCCCCTGAATCAAAGTGGTAATGTTTTATAAGTTTAAACTTCCATTTAAAAAGAAATGAGGTGAAAAGTAGGTTTTCCGTGTTTAAAAACAGCAGTACCTATTTTACCTTACAATCGCAATTAACACTTACTCGTTTCTGCTAGCCTGGTACTGTGAGTTAATTTAGAATTTTAAAAAATCAGGGGGTAAATAGGAAGTAATTATAACTAAAATAAAAACCATGTAATCGCAATTAACACCTACTCGTTTCTGCTGGCCTGGTACTGCGAGTTACTATTGAAATGTTACGCCGCCGATGAGTGACATCGACTGAGAAAACTAGGAACGCAGTAGGTTGAACTGTGTAATTAGACAAAGATGTAAATTAAAACCTAACCGTTCCTGTTAGCCTGATACTGTTAGTAATTTTCAATTAGAAAAAGTGCTAACCGCATTTAAAAAAACAGCATTACTTTGCAATCGCAATTAAAACCTACTCGTTTCTGCTAGCCTGGTACTGCGAGTTCATTTACAATTGAAATATTACGCCACCGGTGAGTGACATCGACTGAGGAAACTAGGAACGCAGCAACTTGAACTGTAGTTTAAGACAAAAATGTAAATTAACATCTAACCGTTTCTGTTAGCCTGATACTGTGTACAATTTAAAAAAGAGACAACCACATTTAATAACAGTAATTTCCGCATTTAAAAGTAACATAACCTTGCAATCGAAATTAACACCTACTCGTTTCTGCTAGCCTGGTACTGCCAGATAAATTTACAATTGAAATATTACGCATGGCATTTATGCATCGACTGAGGAAACTAGGAACGCAGTATTTGAACTATAATTTAAGATCTAAAGATGTCTGCCAGCCTGGTACTAATAGTCAAATATTACCGTGACAGGCACATGTTGACTGAGAATAATAGCAGGAACGTAATAACTCAGTACCAGGCTCGCACAAAACTTAGGAGGTCATGCCTAAGTTTTGTGCAAGCCTGGTACTGCAGGTTCATTCATGCATCCAACTCGCTCTTTAAGCACGATTGGCTGTTTTGCATATGCGTGTCAATTGTTATACATTGAAGGGGGTTGGGGACTCGGGAACCTATTTGCCCCGTCATCAACTCCGGGGGCAATAACCCGGTAGCTGGTTGTAAGCTTCTTACGGCTGAATTAACTTACGAAATTCAATTAAACTAAATGTAAAGTAAGTTCAGATTTAGTGTCATATATGGGTACAATTTTTTTCATGTTTCTTTTTATTTTTATTGAGGGTACATGCATTAAAAAAAGCGTTTTAACATACTGCTTTTATTGCCGCCTAGTACATATTTTTGCTATAAGCATAAGATGAAGAGGGACAGCAATACGACAGTTGATTTCAGTGTTACCATCATTCTTTTTTTTATTACTACCCACCTCGGCTTGACATGTATTATATAAATAAAACTTACTCTTCAATCACTATCTATTAAAAAACCGCTCCAAAATCCGTTGTGTAGTTTTAAAGATTTAAGCATACATAGGGACGGACAGACAGCGACAGTGACTTTGTTTTATACTATGTAATGATATCTAAGACACCATATTTTACCGGATCCTAATTCAAAACATTCGGTCTTAATTTATAAATTTGAGGTAAAAGTTTAAATTAGTAATATTTGTCTTTAGCGTAATTTAGATGTAATATAAATATAAAATATGTATGTAATTAATTTAGAAGCTAAGACGGAGCTAACATGCTATTACGAATATTTTCTTGTTCCCCTTCGATTTGTTATATCGAGGTTGCACTGTAGGAAGGATATATTTACAAACAAAGACATATAATAAAAATATTGTTTTTTAATATAACACAATGTTAATGATCGTCATCAGGGTCTTCCTCTTCAAAATCTCTAATTTTAACGTCGGCATCCTCGCCATATTGGATAATATTGTCTATGGTCAGCAGTATGTTCTCTATGCTCTCCTCGTCCTTTATGTTGAGCGGGTAGAAGCGTACCAAGCTGAAATTGTCTATAACCTCGCCTATTGCCTCTGTTAGTTTAGCATACTTCTCATGCCATTTTGAGTCCACATTTCTCATATCCGACAAGAGGATGTGTGGGTCTGGGTCTAAATAACTGAAATGTAAATAAATAAATAAATTTGGACAAGTTTTAAGGTTCACATAGATATTGGAGAAAAATCTGATAATTTAAAAATATTAAAAAAATGTAGTTTCATTATAATTCGGTATCGTTAAACTAGTTGCGTATAACCCCCACGTATCCATACATAAAAGGAGGGAATTTTTCAAAAACCCGTCGTCCGGTGAAGCTGTAAAGGCCAGCTGCGGCCAACAGCATTAGAGTAGTACGAAAAAAAAGTAAGTCACGGCATTCGGTCGACGAACACAGAACGTGCAGGTTGTATTTTGGATACTAAAGTGAATTGTATTAGAGACGAGTTTATCTCGGATTTAGTTGGGACTGGGGCGAAACTGCAAGTAGTGACGGTTAGTGTTAATGTATTCTAAAAGGGCCTTTTAAACCTACATCCGTGTCACAGTCACGGACGCTACTTGGGGTTCTCTCCCTGGACCGTCAGTGGCCAGCATCAGGGCCTAAGACGTCATCATAATTAGTGATTCTTACACAAGTACTACAGCGCCATCTAGTCTCACGGTAAACGGAGCTTGTGTTATAGGTACTAGAAAACTGATATAAATCTAGTATCCATAACACAAGCTCTGATTATCTATATTAATATTATATTTTTCGGTAATTACTTATATATTCATAATATATGGTATGATATGGTTTTAGGGAAAGTTGTAGAACAAAAATTGTTTTTTACCATTGGTACTTTCATATCCTTGCGGTTTAGCCCTTCTAACTAACTACATATGTCGACAGCCTCGGTGGTCTAGTGATTTAGCACAGCGCTTTAATATCCGATGGTCGCGGGTTCGATTCCTTGCATAGTACAAACATTTGTGTTCATGAGTATGATTGTTTGTATCAGTCTGGATGTTTTTTATGTATTACTATATACAGTTATTATAAAAAAAATGTATCTATGTATTTATGTCAGTTGTCTAGTATCCACAACACAAGGTCTGCTTATCTTGGGACTAGATGGCGGTGTGTGAATTGTCCTGAGATATTCTATTATACATATGACTGAATAAGAGGCACCACGTAGTGACAAATTCTACTCACTTGTCCAGTTGACTCCTGGCTGACTTACTGAGTAGGTCCATCTTTGTTAAAATATTCACATGCGGTAATTCTAAGTTTACCATCACACTCAGGGCTGCCATTGTGCCTGCAAAACAAATATAACTACCATATTAAATGTTTACTTTACGGTTTCAATTATTTTACATTCCATCGATTTGTGTTTGATGTATTTGATGATCTCAGTAGTCTAGCGGTTGTACATACTGCTTCCGATGACCACGAGTTCGATTCCTCGTAAGGTACAAACTTAATTGTTTGTATCAGTCTGGATGTTTTCTATAATAATAATAATATACTCTGGACAATTCACACAGCACCATCTAGAGCCAAGTTAAGTTAGCTAAAGCTTGTGTTATGGGTACTAGATAACTGATACATATACATAGTTTTTTTTTGTAAATACATACATATTATACATAGAAAACACCCAGACCGATACAAACAACCATACTCATGATTACAAATGTTTGTGCCGTGCGAGGAATCGAACCCGCGACCATCAGTCGTAAAGCGGTGTGCTAACCGCTATACCACCGAGGTCGTCTATGTATATTATGTATGTATTTATAAAAAAATATCTAAGTATTTGTATCAGTTGTCTAGTATCCATAATACAAGCTTTGCTTAGTAGAAATAAAAATATTCTTTATTCAAATAAACTCAATACAAGCACTTCTGAATAGTCATATTTGTTTTTATTCTACGACTCAACCGGAACGCTGACTCATCAATAAGAAGAAGCAAGAAACTTGTCTGTTGTTCTATTTTAAATACATAATTATACAATAACAAGTGAGAGGCATGCGAGAATCAACATAGAAACCGCTACACACTCATTTCTAGTGTAATCAGAAAATGTTGGTAGATAGTTTGGAACTAGAAGGTATCGATGGTGAGCAATGTCATGGGATATTGTTATATTGTACCTGATAAAAATTTAGCACCATCAACCATAAACTGGGAGTCCACTAAAAACACCACACATATCCTGAAGTTCCACCTCTGCAGTGTGTCTACCAGCTTCTTCATGACAGGCAGGTGGGTGTACAGTTCTATCTGGCCAGGACAGTCGAACAGCAGGTAGTCATCATCCACATCTCCGAGCTGTTCCTCTAGCCAATCACAGTTTTCTAAGAGAGTTCTGAAAATGGTAAATAATAATATATAGTATAACAAATAGTGATTGTTCAGTGGTTGATATTCAACCATAATAATTTAACATTCAGTAAGACTATACACAAATAATATTAAGGACAAACAATACTGATCTATTTTCAATTTGATATATATATATATCGTTGATTAAATAGAATAATGTCATTTTTAAAAATTAGAAGTTAGAATTGCCTCCTTTTATATAAGTCTAGGTAAGCCCGCTACATCCTAGGTGTTGCCATCATTTACCATCAGATGAGGTAAGACCAAGCGCAATCCCATTATTAATAAAAAAAAAAGAAAAAAAAAGTCAATTAAATTAACCGCGCCGTCTTAATCATTATCTAAGTACTTTTAAAATGATATATAATACTTCGGTGTAAATTTTTGTTAAAATTTAAAATAAATTTAAAAAACTTTAAATGCTTGTCTTGTAATAAATAAATGTACATTTTGAATTGTACCATTTTTCTATTTAACCGACGAAATGTGTGTGTTAAATATATGGTAGTGTGTGTAATGTTTTAGATGTGAAACTATTTTTTTTTTTTAATGGTTGATAATGGAATGGTGCACTTGCCTGTGTTAACGGTTTACGCTGGCGGGGCACCAGTGGAGGATGATAAGATGAGCATGAGGTTAGGTCAGTTAGCCCATCAGACATATTCATTAGGAATTTATCATGATGTTTTCCAGGGGGAACCGCGTGGAGGTCAACCTGATATGGTACATTGTTAGCAATGAGATCATCAGTCCACATTACTTACAATCCCCTTTCCCTCCTAAAACTATATATTGACCGGGTGTATTAGCATTTTTCGGTCACGAATAAGCGTTACTATCGTGTGGAGGGTTGGCGGCGGAGAGAGGACCTCGGGAGCAGAGCGAGGAGTCCGCTATCGCGTTGAGACTGTATTTTTTATGCATAATTAAAAAAATATTAACATTCTGCACTTCTTCTCATACTCCTCTGTCGGCGTACTTTTTGTAAAAAGGGTACAAAGTTATTGCTTCACGTATTAATATATATAGATAGATAAAATAAGGAATGAAGAAGTGCTTGATACAAGAAAAGAGACAGATCATAGATATTATTGAGAATAGGCGGGGAAAAATGTTGGAGCACTTGATACAACACGACGAACTAATTAACAACATTATAGAAGGAAAAATAGATGGAAAGAGAGGAAGGGGAAGACCAAGACACAGCTATATCAAGCAAGTTAAAGAAAAAGTTGGAGTCGTGTTGTATCAACAGCTGAAAGGACTGATGGAAGATCGTGGAAGGTGGCGGGAGCTCCACCGACAAGAGCACAGCTCTTAAATTATGAATGAATGAATGAATGTATTAATATATAGATTATCAAAATATACTACTAAACTTCTATCACATAACTGTATACAAAGGTATCAGTAGGTGCTAGCAGCTGTGATAGAGACCTCTAGAAACTTGCTTTGCCACCTTACTCCACATTAGGAAGAAATCCCTTCTCCATTATCAATGTGGATAATTAACTCCATTGCGAGCAATGTATGATGTCAGTTTAACCTCCACATGATTCCCCTAGGAAATCATCATGTTTAATCATGTTAAATTTGACAAGATGGGCTAACTGATTTGACCTCATTATTTTTTTTAACAAGGGTTTTGGGCTATTTTCACATGCTTGGTTTAGACCTGTAGCACAGAGACCTACATAGATCTAATGTGCTCGCCCGGGGGAAAAGGGGATAGTTAGTAATGTGGATTGATTGTCTTATTGCTAGCAATGTACCATGTCAGGTTGACCTCCACGCGGTTCCCCCTGGAAACCATCGTGTTAAATTCCTGGTGAATTTGTCACGATGGGCTAACTGACCTGACCTCATGCACGTCTTATCATCCTCCACTGGTGCCTCGTAGCGTAAACCGTTAGCGCAGGCGGGTGCACCATTCCATTATCATAAAATAAAAAAAAATGTGCTTGCCCTTTTTCAAAGTCCATCAGGGACAAGGGATCAGACCTTATACCTATTTTATCACTTGATACTGGTTCCTCATTCATATCACTCTCTACTATTACCTCACCAGTGTAAACCATTAATGCAGATAGGTGCATTATTCCATTACTAGTAAGGTGGGATAATGATGTTGCTATAGTATAGCTAGTATTGCTAATACAATTTAAATTGAATCAGATAATTGTAGTACTTATACTTACTCAATACAAAATACAAGTCCTCCATTCGGTCCGAACTGTAACTCCTCATCTTCCATGGCATCATCGAGGTGAATGAGCTCCCGGATGTCCACCAGAGGCTCATAGTCAAAGTGTTCAGCTGCGGGGTCCAAGTTCACTACCTCCACAATACGCTTGCAGTCTACAGCATGCTTCACTATTGTTGAACAGTATGTAGACTGGAAAATCCAAGTTTGTTTTTTATTAAAAATATGACAATATACACTTAATAATTAATAACCCTGGACAATTTATACAGCGCCATCTAGTCCCACGGTAAGCAGAGCTTATATTATGGGTACTAGACAACTGATAGAAAACTTAGATACATTGTTTTTGTATACATAACAAACACAAAACACATATATAGAAAACACACAGGCCGATACAATCATACTCAGGAATACCAATGTGCCATAGGAGGAATTAAACCCGCGACCATCAGAAGTAAAGCAATGTGCTAAACCACTAGACCACCAAGGCAGTTAAATCAGTATAAAATTAATACACTCAAGGCGAACTTCTTTATACAGCAATTTTGTTAGAACGAGGCTTGCAATCGATGATCAGACTGACTGCTATGGCAGAAAATATGTTTAAATATTTGAAAGGAGTGTGTATTGTCATCTAGTCTGACTTCATGTAAAATATCCGTAATTTTATCTTGTTTAGGAATATATTTTTGTTCATCTCTTATTCTACGTTTTTTACTTATACACCACTAGTTACTCTGTTAAGGTCAGAATTCCGGAGGTAACTTCTTTATAAATTTATAGTTATTTATATCGTATTTATTCACTTTACCTTGCCACTTCCTGCGGGTCCCACAATCAGTTGTGCATACCGCATCTCGCAATATTCAAATTTAATGTATATCAGCTACTAATGTTCATAAATAACATGCGATTAGGTTATGATGATCAATTAGATTCAAACGTATAATTTTCATACAAGTAAATCACAAAATAACATTTTAATGGAATATGCTTGTAAAAGCTATTTTAAACTATCACTAAAACATCAGTACACTGTGAATTAACAAATATAAAATATGTGAGAACAATGTGTTTTGCAATTTTTAAAAACGATTGTTTTGTTTTGGTAGGTCAGATCAGTCATTATTATATCATTCACAAATCAAGCTCAATACTGACAACTTTATTGGTTCTTTAACCTTTAATAGGAAGGCAAAGGGAACTGCGCCCATACAGCCATGCTGCACTTTTTGATGTTTTAGTTTTCTTAGTTCATTTTATATTTTGAATTGTTGAGATAATGTATTGATACAGTGTACAAACTGTTTTTGAGTCTCTTAATATTGTGGTAGTATAAAAACTCTTTTAGTACTATGATTACTTTTTCTATAGTCTTGTCATATTGTAACATTTTAACACGTACGCGAGAAGAATATCTTGATTTTTGATCTAGAAGTAAAGGCGAGAGGAATATCTTATTTTTGATCTAGGTGGGAGTACCTTCGATGTTTCTATACTCAATATTGATGAGGGATAACTTTATGAAGTGGTAACACTTATCTCGGAGGTACGGTTTTTTTTATGGAATAATGTGGTGATACATAAGATGAACATACAGGTCAGTTAGCATCGTGACAAATTCACCAGTTTTATGATGTCTCTTAATATTGTAGTAATATGTATAAAAACTCTTTTTGATAATATGAATTTACATTTTTCAAATTGATGTGCTATAGTCTTAAAAGTAAAAATATAATTATAAAGAAAAATAAATGGCATAGCAGGATTAGATAAATGTTTGAAATTTGAAAGTTATTTGTATAGAGTCATTTTAACATAGGGAAACGTATTCAAGGCTACATTGTAAATGTGAAGACACTTTACAATGGTAATTCTCTGTCAGAGAAAGAAGAGATTGAGTATAAACTGATGAACAGAGTATTTGATTCTGCCATGAAAACGTTGGGTAGCTCCACTTTAAGACAGAAACTTTGATATCGATTCTTCTGTTATGTTTGACTAAATGTTATTATTTTTTACTAGTTTCATTTTGCAACTTTGTTTCATCATTCTTACTTGACATTTATCATTATATATATAAGACTTATGTCCCGGCAAACGTTGTTTTGCCTTAAAATAAAATAAAAAAATTTAGGGGTGGACTACCCCTAACATTTAGGGGGATGACGGGGCACCAGTGGAAGCTGATAAGATGAGTATGAGAATCGGTCAAGCCGTTAGGAGTATCGTGACAAATTCACGAAGAATTTTATATATAAGATATTTTTTTATGTGTGATTATGGAATGGTGCCGCCTGCGCTAACGGAGGTCAAAGATGACATGGTAGGTGACAAATTCACGAAGAATTTATCTAGCAAAGAGATCATCATTCCACATTACTAACAATCCTCGTTCCCCCTTATCATTATATTCCACCTACGTTAAAAATATTGTTTTAACTATAATATATATGTTATTCTGATGTATAAGGTATATTACTGCAATACTTTTATATTGATACGTTCAGTAGTTGATGTGTGAAAGAGTAACAAACATTCATCTAGCGGTCTAGCACACCGCTTTACGTCCGATGGTCGCGGGTTCGATTCCTCGCACGCCACAAACATTTGTATTCATGACTATGATAGTTTGTATCGGTCTGGGTGTTTTCTATGTATATTATGTATGTATTTACAAAAAAAAAATATCTATGTACTTGTATCAGTTATCTAGTACCCGAACACAAGCATTAGCTAGCTTATCTTGGGACTAGATGGCGCTATGTGAATTGTCCTGAGATTATTATTATTATTATTAATATCTAACCATCTAAACTCACAAACTTTTGCGTTTATAATATTAGAAAGTAAGGAGTAATATTTTGTTTGATTTGGTTTGCGAATAAATTAATCTGTATTATTGTAAACATATATAATATTAATTTGAAAAGAATACGAGCTGAGTTTCTTGTCAGTTCTTCTCATCTCGAAATCATACCGAACTGACGGTAGATTTGATATATCATAAGAGTCTGTAATAGACCTACATGAATAAAGATATTTTGAATTTGAATTTAAAATAAATTGTTTATTTTTGTTTGAAATTCTTTTATTTTTTTGCCACTGACTTAATTATATCTACTTGTACCTACTTTTTTTGTGTATGATATGCGCTCGTTGGGTAGGTACCAGCAGCAGATTACAGTGTTCAGTTAGCCAGTACTGGGTACCTATGAAGGTTTTCTGGTGCGATGGAATGGCACCATTATATAAGCATGCATATAAAGTATATTTTACTAAATAATTTACGAATAGAATAAAACAAATGTATACTGATTAGCAATTTCTTTATTTTAATTTAATAACTTTAGAAATTGTTCGGAAAGAAGACAATGTCAGCATCGTTTATATTATGATATGAACAATAATAATTACCGCTATAATATTTAATACTATCAATTACAATATCAGAGATAACGTACCTACCATACTCATCTATATATGTCTACCGGTAAATATTTACATATAGCGCCTACACCAACATCAAAGTAACAATAAATATATAGTGTGCAGGTCTATAAAACAAATGATTGCCGCGAGTACTTTGTATATGGCTATATTTTTTTATACCAGGAGTATCACTAAGTAATGAGCAAGTAATCACTACGTCAGTGTTGGCATTAATGAATAAAAAAAATATTTTTAATCTGTTGACTTTCCGGCCAGTTATTTATTGTCTATAAAAATGTAGACGTATAATCTATATTAGTTTCAAGCTAGTTCTTAACTGAAGTGTAGGTAGTTACTGATAAAAAATTACAATGTGCATAGTGCATACCTACTTATAATATTTCGCGCCACTTGGTCAAAAGTGTATTGATTTTAATGTTCACTGTGAGAACAAAATTAAAAAGAACAACTGACAAGAAAGTCGAGTTTAACTTGTTCAAACGAGATTGATAATAATAAATCACCGAAATTTAGTAATTTATTATTCAAGAAAATATTTCCGTTTCGACCAATTTCACCGAATTACCGAAAACGAAAGTTATGTCCGAACCTATCTACACATAAATAATTTGAAAAATATAAAAATAAATCGGTTACCTAGTTTAAATACAACGACGATAGGCACACACGCATAGAATATCTAATTGTATCTATAAATAGAACCGTTATAAATGACATTTACATACCAAATGTGTTTCCAAAGAAGGAAGTTTTATTATCCTGATTTGTTTATGTAATGGATGTAATGGGGAAAGGCGAAAAACCCAAACCGTTGTCTATGGTAATCGAACATGTAATATGTATTGGAAAACGATTTTTATGTAAGTGCAGGTATTTCCAATTGCAACAAGCGTTCGTTTTGGACAATCCAATACGCTGTTATGCAAATAAATTAGTTATACAATATATCTTTGTTCTGATATTTAACGTACCAACCGTATTGAAAAAATAATTATTTGATTGTTGGTACCGGAGAACGTTAAAAACAGTTTATTTTTTTAATTTTATTATCCAATAGACAAATATAATACTAATTTTATTTTACAAAAATAGAGATGTAATGTCAATTTTCTTTGACAATAATATTAACTGTGCGTATTCAGAGCGGAAACTGACGTTTAGTTCCTAAATTGCGTTTATTTAATATGAATATTATGTAGGTACCTATTTTTACTGACTAAATACGAACTGAGGGGCTAAAATATATTTGTCTTTGGTAATTTCTAAGAATAAAATTAGTAATTTAATATCACTGTATTGGTGTTATACGATTAAAATGCTATAGAATTTCGATATAATCGGTTTTATCAGCACATTAAAATGCGCGTCACTATCCATTGGACGTGTTATATCGATACGAGTGTAGTTTTGTTTATTACTTCCTCATCCGCTGTTCAGGGGCCCATGTTTGTCTATGCTAATTTTGGTTACAACTACAACCAATCATAGAGTAAGATTATCTGCTAAGTATTTTTCTTATTCCCAAATGACAACCCCTTACAACGTGGTATAGGTTAATCTGTCGTTTGCATACACAATTTGGATTTTCATTTCACATTGAATATTGTATAGAAAGTTCTAGTAATAGATATAATAAGACAATTATATATTTAATTAGAATAATCCTCAAAACAGAAAAGTGAAGTATTTTTGAATTTTATTACAACGATGACTAAAAAATTTTATGAAGACTCAAACACAGTGATTTTATTCCTAACAACAAAATTTGTTTCTGGTTTCCCGCCAAAAACAGTGTCGTATTTTAATGAGCATAGAAAAACGTAGGTTTTAATCATTAATTGTGATTAGCCAATCAAAATTCCTCCGTGGTTTTGAATTCTGAATGACTATTGGTCGAAAATAATACTAAAATATTAAAGCCTATCTCAAGCATATTGCAAATATTTGTATACCATTAGATATAGTGATATATTTTGATAACAACAAGAAAATATCTCAACGGAATTGAGTAATGATTTGATTACTTGCTCAGTCGATGTATAAATAAATAAAAACCTACAATTTTTTAGTAACAAATTTCATCAAACAATTTCAATTAAGTACAAGTTAAGATAATTGTAAGAGATTGCTGATAGCGATAAGACCGCCTTTTGTAAAACATTTATTTTCATTGTTTTATATCTGTCCTATGTTTATGTATGCGCAATAAAGAGTTATTATTATTATTATTATTATTAAGATATTTTTTTAAAACAGCCGCTCGTACAAAGTATTCGAGGCAAACATTCAAAATAACAATATATATATATATTATTAATTCAAAAGCAAAAGCTATAAAATCAGTAATAAACAGAACTTAATAGGTTTATTCAACGATCAATAAACCGTTCAGTTATCATTTTCAAGGGTTCGTACATGAAACTCGATAACTGTTAACAGCCTAATGTTTTTTTTATAATAATATTGACTATTACATTCTATATTTTACCTAACTTATTGGTTTATATATAACATCGATATGTATGAAGTTGGTATTTCTAAAATTGGATATAGAAAGAGGTTCGTCGTGTTCTAGATTCCAAACATACAGAGTGACCGTTTTTAGTGCCTCTTGAAAAAGTTACGCCTAAACCTATTTACGATAGTTTAATTTCGTTTACATTGTTTCTGATACAATTTAGAATGACGATAATTCTGAATAATGTTTTACCCTTGTAAGAATTCGAATTTTGGGCCTATTTAACTACTTAACTATATTAATTGCTAGATGTGGCAATTTCATTATTATATACACTAACAACTGAATGTAACTATATACACGGTGATGCAAGGAGTACGGTTCCTTTTAATATACATTGTCACTTAATACCACTAAAAACTGGGAATTATAAAGGTGAAACGATAAGAAATGATAAAAAGAAAAAAACTGAAAATAGATTAAAAGCAAATTTATTGCTAAAATAAAATAAAATTATAACTAAGCAATACAATATTTGCTTAATCGTAGACGTCTCGCATTTGCTTCTAAATTTGTACGTTCTATAGAAATATATAAAAAAAGAAATAAAATGAGATAAAAATATTTTTAATTTAACGGAGTACGTAATGTTTGATGGTGGCGAGCATTGAGCGGTGTCTAATGAGCGACACTATAATATACACATAAAAAACATACAGTAGTATAAAATAAACATTAATAATTTAATTGTACAACTTATATAATCCAATTATAATAATATTTAAAACCTCTACGGTTCATATAAACATAATAATACTTTTCAACTGGGCTCAGTATCATACCTAAAATTTACATCAGATTGCACTTTAAAATTTCATTAACAATTAAATGAACATCACTATATATAAGTTATGGGCGACGTCTTACGGCTAGCCGCGCTCTAACCTATTTGTATACAGCGCCTGCCTCGCGACATCACTCACGTATTTGGTATGTTTATTTACAATAATCTAATTTATAAAGTAAGCCGTAACTTAACAATACTTAGACATTTGTACCCGACCACGTGGTACGTCCACTACGATTAGAATAATAAAAAAAAAATTAAAGCAAAATGCATATTTTTGTATCGTAAGGTTTTCTCGTCCTACGTAAGGACGTATGCCTGGCATATTACGAGAACAATAAGGTCTATGTACAAAGTCTTTGGCCTTACAATCGAAATATAACAAAACACATATAACTACACTTTAGTATTTGCACTGAACATTCTCTACACGGGGTACAGTCGACACGCCGGCCCATTCGATGGGCTCGCAGACCTAACTAATAATAAATAACGTTCCACGTGATATGGTGCACCCGCTACGACCCGTCTCGAACACACTACAACGTCCAAATCACATTAAAGTCTAATATTCCCACCTGTCGTCGTCATTTTCTGTTTTGATTTTGTCCTCCGGGAGGACGTCTTCGGGCGGCGTGTGGGGCGGCCGTGGCGTGTGCGGCGTGTGAGGGGTGTGAGGGGTGTGCGGGGTGTGCGGCGTGTGGGGCGTGTGAGGGGTGTGCGGGGTGCGCGGGGGCGGGGAGGCCGCCGGCGACGAGTCCCGCGCGACGGGCGCCGGCTCCACCCGCACGGTCTCCTCGGTCTCCCTTCTGAAGTCGTCGCTCCTCATCACGCACACGCCGTTGATGATCACCTCGTCGGGGTTCCGCGGCTTCTCGTCCTGCCAGTCGGGGTTCACCCACTGCGGCGCGGCCGGTTTCCGCCGGCTCGAGCGGGCGGCCGGCGTGGACGTCGCCTTCGGTTCAGTCTTAGATTCCCCGTCGTCGAGCGAGTCGTCCGAGCCGAGGTTGCTCTCGACGTCGTCGTCCTCGAAGTCGTCGCCGTCCGGTTCCCGTTTCAGCGGCATCGATAGGTCGAGGCCTCCGCTTTGGTCCTTCACTTGGTCGTCGGGCGGGACGAGGCCCCGACTGATCAGAGCTGCGAGATTAGTATTCGCCGCGAAATATGGCGGATACGGCAAAGGTACTCCGGCGAGACCCATCCTCTCTTTCTGGAGTTCGAGCAGTCGCTGATTGAGCAATAGTCTGAATTGTACTGGCTCGAATGGCGCAGAAGATTGGTCGCGAGCTGGAGGCTCCGCGGGCAGTCCATGGGGAGCTTGCTGCTTCAGCCGCATGCGATGGTTGTGGAACCAATTCGTTATTGTTCTTGTGGATAAACCGAGTTCTGCAGCTAAGAATTCTATCGTAGGCATGTTCGGGTAAGGATCTAGAGCGAAAGCTAATCTTAGGGCTTCCTTCTGTTCCTCTGAAAATAGAACGCGTTGTTTCTTCGCTGAAGGCACGCCTGATGTTGGTCCCGGCGAACTGGAGTGGTAAAATTCGGATGTGTCGTTAGAGGACGTGTCGGAGGAGTTATCCTGTCCAGGACCGCTCGACCGTCGTCGTTTATTAGCTTCTCTTCTCTCATTCTTCAAGGCTTGTAAACGATCTATATTATGGGCGTCGCTGAGCCATAGTTGCATTCTGATGAAAGGCTCCCGACCTTTAATACTGAGCATGTGCCAAGGTTTCGGCTTGGACAGCAGTTCACTGACCGACCCTTGTGATAAACCTAGTACAGCTTCGCCGAAAATCTTCTGTCCGATGTTATTTGCAAGCAATGCCTCCTTGATTTTTGTAGTTATCGTTTGCGTATCTAAATCTTGCGTTAGAGCTGCCATTTCGTATACACTGGGAGATATATGCTGAGGAAGATTGCGCATTATTGGTGGTTGGTGGTGCGGCTGAGGTGGAGGTGGTGGTTTTCTCTCCTTGTTGTTGTTGTCGTGGTGCTGCGGCGGTATCGTTACAGCGTGGTGTGGAGGGAAACCAGGGGGCGTTAGGAGTAGAGGAGTCGGCTGGCCCAAATGGCCCAGATGAGCCCCAGGCCCCAGAAGCTGTTCTTGTTGCATTTTGCTAAGTAAAGAGGTCGCATCGGAGAGCATCTTTTGCGTAGGAGGCATCGGCTTGTTCATGTTGGGCGGACATGCTGTGGATAATGAAAAAGAAAATGTCAATATTTGAATTAAAAGTCTACATATAAATGTGAGTTGTATTACTTTATATAATCACTTGGTTGTTGGACTGTAATATCTTTCGTATACTAAAATAATGTATTATTCTAGTCTAGACAGAGCAAACATGATTGTTTGTTTTTTTTGTCGGCAAATTTTTACATGTGTATGTTTAAAACTTGAAGATTGAAATAGATATGGAGTAGACGACATACTCAAAATAGAAATTGTAAAAAGTAGGGTTGCAATTATTCTAATTAAAGTTTATAAATGTGTACTTACGAGGTGCTCCGCTATAGTTGCCAGTCCTCATGAGCTTCTCAGGCGCAATTTTGTATTGTGACGCGACTAATTTATGGACAGCATTGTCATCTTCCAAGAACATCTTCATGCGAATGAACGGTTCCCGGCCCTTCTGTGTGAGCATATGCCACGGCTTTGGCCTCGCCAACAGATCACTGACGGACCCTTGAGATAGACCTAACACCGATTCGCCGAACAGTCTTTGGCTGATGGAGTATTGACTAAGAGCTTCCTTCACTCTCCTTACAATGTCTTCTGTGTTTAAATTATTAAAGAGATCGAATTGTTGCTGAGTGATTGGTGGAAGAACTGCTTTCATGGAGCGCTGTGGCGGTGCGTGATGAGTAGGATTCGTTGGCTGTGAAATAAGACTATTTGTGATGGATGCCATCCGTTGCAGAGGGCTCGCTGCAGCTGAGCTACTGAAGTCCTCGTTGGGGGTAATCGCAGGCGGAAGTATGGCGTTTCCGAGCGGGCTGGACGCAGATGACCCTGTGGATTGTTGTCCAGGCTCCAACTTCGGCCTGACTAATGAGAATGCACTTCCCGCATGTCTTATAGCCTCTTCAGCATCTAATGGCCTATCCTTATCACTATCAGTCATTCCATTAATTTTGGCATTTTTGTCCTTAGGTAGAGAGAGGTCCTGTACTGCACCAGAGCCGTTCATGTGGTGATTTTGAGCTTGCTGCATGACCTGCTGCTGCAGGGCGAGGAGGTTAGGGAACGGAGGCATCGTTGGCAAGTTGTGGAGGTTGGGAATGTTGGCACCGGGCTGGATTTTGGCCAGCTCTCTGTGGTAGGCTTCTAATGCCATGCGGATGTCCTCGGGCGGCCGCTCTATGTGCGGTGGCATGCCGCCGCTGAAAAAAGGGGGAAACATGCTAAACTTTAGTTTTAGATTTGCTGTCCTCTTATAAATTACTAATTTTATTTATTAATTTCCATACTTAGAAACTATTACTATAGTTGTCTAATTTGTTAAAGTTTTCTAATATTGTCTGTAACTAAATTTTATATGTATTGGACTTATTACAGAAATTGATATATTTTAACAGGTTTCATTCACCGAATAAAGTTTAGAACAACATCATTACATTACTATAAATGAAGCATTTAGACTACTGTTATCGTTATAGTTTTATTTTTAGTTATCCATTTCTTGGACAAATGTATGTCGTATGCTCTTAGAGTCGCCTCTTATGACATCCTAGTGATGCCATTTTATTCTTGTATCTATACCTCAAGTAGAAGTAAGCACTTTATTTATTAATAAATAAAAGATATTTTTACTAACCCTGGGAACCCCTCGCGACTGTGGCGGACGTCCTCCACTCGCCTGGTCATGATCTTGGCCAGCTCCTCCTGGTAGATCCGCGCCACCTTCTCCTGAGGAATGTCATCGTTCTCGTATTTTTTCAGTCTTTTGTTTTGACTCGAATCCTGGAATAAATAATTAATAATTATATATATAATAATTAATTAATATTCCCATGTGAATTTGATTAGAAATCATATTTTAGGAGACCGTTCGAAATTTTAGAGTTAGTTCAAAAAGTTCGAAATTTAGGAGATTGTGATTTAGGCTGAATCATAATAATGAATACAAATGTTTGCATCGTCCGAGGAATCGAACCAGCGACCTTTGGAAAGTGAGGTTGTGTTAGACCATTTAAAGATAATGACGTAGAACCTTACCTTATTAGAGAATGGCGAAGGGCACTGTGTCCGAGGTGAGCTGGAGTCCTCATTACTTCTGGAATCGTCGTTGTTCTGCTGTCCAGGTGTCTTGGTGGAGTATGATGCCTCGTTGAGCATGTGCATGAGACGGTCATCACCATCGCCTTCCGGCCGTCCGAAGCCAGGGCCGATTGTACCGTCTTTTGTGCCCACTGTAAAGAAAAATAACCGTTATGTAATGGTTTCCAACATTTCCAAGAGTAGATTTAACAACCACTATTTGTAACGTGAACTTAATGTTAAACATAGACACCAATAAGTAGAAAAAAGTAAATAAATTGGCTTTTTAAAAAAACAAATTCAGTTGAGTTTCTAGCCAGTTCTTTTAATTGAATCTGTATTCAGTATAGTTTAAATTGAACTGGACGGTAGGGTAAAAATGTTAATACAAAAATAAACTTGACTTTTGAATAGTCTTTTGTTTTTTATCACAAGCAAAAAATTGCTACAATGTCCTAATTGAATGATGAATTTCTTAATTTTTCAATCTCATATAGAAATGTAAGAACAATATCTACATTATACATATAAGCCTTCCTAGGGAATAATTCTATCTATTGTTAAAAACTGCATAAATATCAGTTACGTAGTTTAAAAGATCTAAGATCTAAGCGAACCGATTATAGAAGCGACATCTTTTATACTATATAAAGATTTATTTCCTAAGATTTTTTTCTCTGTAAAAAAATGATACTAGCATCACTGAATATTAAATATTTTTTAACATTTGTATACAAATTATATATTGTATAGAGTTTAATAAAGTAAGTAAGTAATTATATAGAAATAAAAGAAACCATACTCCTCTGAAACGGCTTGACCGATTTTTATGTAATTATATATGCATATACAGTAGGTCTGAGAATCGGCTACTATCTATTTTTAATACCCTAAGTGATAAGGGTTGTCCACCTCTAACATTTTTTGGTATAATTTTTTTTTTTTTATTATATGGCATTAAAAATACATACAACCCTAAATTCTCACCCTTCTATCACCAACCCCTATTTTTTTTATGAACAATTGAAAAACAATGAACCTAAAACTAAAAACCTTAAAATATATAATACAATATCTAAAATATATTGTATAGAGTTATGTTCTAGATATGAAACTTTAGTTTCACACTTAGAAACATATAATCGTTTTAGAGAATTGTCCTCAATATATCTAATCATAAGCACAATTTCGTAACACCGTTTAAACGCCCAGCCGTACTCAAGTTTTAATTGCGTCTAAATTGCCACACATACAAACATAGCCGCGCGAATCACACAGTCTAAAGTCGTGCCAAGTAATAAATATAGGAGTTATATTTGGTACAATTGAAATTAGGTGGATCATTAACGTGCACACTGCAATGAATAGTGCTTTAATGATAATCGTTGAATGGGAGCGGCCACTCATCGCCTAAGCCAGTAATCCTAAAACGGCGCGCGCGCACCCATAAACAAGTGAAATTACGCGCGAAAACCGCCCGCCATATTGTGGTCATTCATCCTGTCAACATATTGTCTTTGGTCTCACAATGAAACCACTATTTAGATGCTGATATATGCATAACATTAGTTTAATTAAGGCGCGTAATTAGCTACTGTCTGCAGGGATGTGTTCGGAATAAATGCTGTTAAGTTCTATGCACAAATATGTGCCATTGTGGAGTCAAGTGGCTGTTCAATGTTCTCTCCTTTAATGTTATTAACTTCTTCAATGAACTTATCCTTAGAATAATGAATTTACTTAATATATTTCTATTCGAGATAAATAAATAATCTCTGTACAATTCACACAGCGCCATCTAGATCCAAATTAAGCTACCTAAAGCTTGTGTTATGGGTACTTGACAACTGATACAAATACATAGATATGTTTTTTTTTTCGTAAATACATACATATTATACATAGAAAATACCCAGACCGATACAAACAATCATACTCATGAATACAAATGTTTGTGCCGTGCGAGGAATCGAACCCGCGACCATCGGACGTAAAGCGGTGTGCTTGACCGCTAGACCACCGAGGTTGTCAGTAACTCTTTTAAATAACTCTTTTAAATAGACGAATATTATAAGGAATTTCCAGAGCAGTATGGTTTTTTTGATTGGAATCAATTTCTTGCATATAAACATAATAATGTACATATTTCTTCGAAGATAGTATATTACCTACGCTTTTTACACGTGTGATTTGTTATCAATTTCGGCGAATTTCGAATATTAAGCCTAAAACAAACATGTCCTCATTTCGTGTTATCTGTTCAAGACCGCATGTCTATCACACCGGCTGAGATGAACATCCGTCGTCATTCCCTTAATTTGATAAATAATAGCTAGTGATACGCTTTGCACAAGTGAAATTATTGTAGGGGCATCAATTTTTATATGTAAAATTGGGGTGAGAGGATTATAAGCAATGTGGACTGATGGTCCTATTGCTAGTAATAGCATGACAGCTTGACCTCTATTCTGTTTACGCTGACCGTCAGCGTCTCCAGTCCAGTTTTATAAGGAACAGGACATCGTCGACTATACTCGAACCAAAAGTAACCTGACATTGAAGGACGCAGCTGGAATCGAGTCAGAACGTGATCTTTAAAGCGGTCGTGGCCCGTCCCATCAACATGCTGCCCACCTTCATGAAGGAGTAGGTTTTGGCAGAAGGTTGTGGTGTATCAACGCTACTGTGGCGTCATCAGTGCCGTGACCAAAAGACAATTTGAATTTATATTTTATTATTATGTCTTATGTATGTTAGTCTATATGTTGACAGCCTCGGTGATCTAGTGGTTTAGCACACCGCTTTACTATCCGATGGTCGTGGGTTCGATTCCTCGCACGGTATATTTGTATTCATGAGTATGATTGCTTGTATCGGTCCGGGTGTTTTAAATGTATAATATGTATTTATTTAAAAAAAAAATATCAGTTGTGTAGTACCCATAACACAAGTTCTGCGTAGCTTGGGACTAGATGGCGTTGTGTGAATTGTCCTAAGATATATATTACATATATATATGTTATTTATCATATGGGTCATGTAAATGTTATATCTTTATACATATTGATGTATTAATAATGTATATATTCTGTATTGTTTATATAGTATTGTTTATATTCTGTGAGGAGAACAATAAAGAATTTTCATTTCATTTCATGTAGCCTGAATTAAATAAAATAAAAAAACAACCTGTCTAATGATTGTTTTATTAACATCAGTCCTTTGGTAAACAATATTTCATTCGTTCTGCGGTTTGTTTACGACGCCGAGAAAAGATCGAGCGGTTTCAGATGCAGCATATTAAGTTTTATAAGTATGCATTTTATTATCTCCTTAAATGTTATTTTAAACCGACAATGTGTCCGGTGATTTTGCTCCCGAGGTATTTACTGTTGCTTGTTTATTTTATATTTCACGAAACAACTGAAATTAACTCTTGATTAATTGACCGTTAACAGAACAATTACGATGGCAGCAGCCATGTTTTTGGATTTTTCTTTTTTTTTATGATACGCAAAACGGTTTTGATATACAGCCAGTTATTGAGTTCAAGAAGTTATATATATACAGTGTAAATATTAATTTAATTAATTGATTAAAGGAATTTATTGAGATTTTATACAATTGTAGCGATCTTTTCAGTTTTATTATGCCTGGACAATTCACACGCTGCCATCTAGTGCCGATATGCCGTGTAGTTATCTAGAGCCGAGGTATTTAGGTACATAAAAAAGTTATGTTGATTATGAGGAAAACTTTTTTTAAGATATACAAAAAATTTGTATGATCTAAGTAGCCGACCTACTTATTGTGGATAGTACTGTATTGAAAAATTTAATCTATTGCCTTTGGCTTAGATTCTAGTTTGCTCAGTGTTGACCTATGCATACCTATGTATGAACTATTTTGAGCTTATGTGATAATTTTTAGTTAGTCCCATGTAAATTTTTAACAATAAGTTAAATGTTAATAAATATAAAAAAACCCATAAATTGGTACAGTTGTTAAGCGTGGCAACCGTGGCCTATATGAACAACATGTTTGAGAACAAGTTACATTGTGATGCTCTTGATATTACCCATGTATTTCCATTCCGTATAATGCCGGATGTCCGAAGTATTGGTTGGTTTTCCGTAATACTATCAAGTCAAATTATGTACAAGTGGCGGTAATGAGCCACTTATAAACTTTCACTGTACAATGTTATATTATGTAAGTTGTGACATAGTGGGTATTAGATTCCCACGTTCTACTTGTATTTCGAATCTGCGCGACATGCAAACAATATGTCCTTCTGTACTTTGTATTTTTTGTGTGAAACCGCCATTCACAGAGACTTAACGACTTATGACTAAGCGTACGTGATCTAAATAAATTTAAAAAATGACCGCCTCGCTCCTTTGATTATATCTCGTATGACCATAATGTTCTTAAGTTGTAGCTCATAATAATAGTAGACAATAACTCTACATACGTGTTTTGGCGGTATAATTGCCTTGTTTACTTTTTAATGTCTCGTTAAATTGGCACTTTATTTGGTTCGTCTTAATTTTATGTCGATTTCGTTCAGACACACGACTGTCATACTTTCTTGTGTATATATATGGCCTGTAATAACGTTTTATGAGGCACTATGTCATATTATATTGACGTCATATTATATTGCGTGTCGATTTTAAACGGAATTCAAGGAATTATAATATATTAGATTTATTATTTAATCTCTATCGTAGCGGTTATATTGAACATATTATTTGTAAATTACTTTGACTTGTGTAATGAAAATGTTAAGCATTACTATTTTGTTTAACATATAAGTAATCTGATGTCACTATATGACTATGGGCATACGAGAATAATTTGTCAAATAAAATAGTGTATTTTTGAACTTTTAAATGTATATATATGCATTTATGGTTTCATACTATCATCTTATACGCAAAGTAGTAACGTTGATTATCTAATATATAACATTCCAAAAATGTTTTTTAGTTTTTTAAAGAAAGTACGTCAAGTTTTCGATGACGCTTTGAAGTTTCATCATTTTATGTAGCAATGTTGAGTGAAACATTCAGTCTTGATATTATTTATGTAAGGATATCAGGTAGGTGTATTAAGGGCTAAAAATGTATTAGTGTTACATTCTAGCATT